ATGTCGACACCGTCATCGACAACCCGCAACACCACCACCTCCTCGTCTGACTACAACATGTCCCCCACCCCGCAAACGTCACAGCAAACGAGTGCCGGCTCCAAAAAGAAGAAGGCGAAGTCCGACGTCGCTCAACAGATCGACCACGTCCATGACGAGATCGAGAGCCTGCATTCGGACGCGAGGTCACGCCACGACCACAAGCAAGAGCGCTTCCTTGCGAAGCTCGACGCCAAGACCGAACACCATCGCGACACGAGGAAGTATGAGTATCTACGCAGCGCGCGAGAGCATGAGGCCTCGTTAGCAACCGCCAACCATCAGCGTGAGCAAGAGAAGCAGGATGCTGAGATCCGTCTTCGCGAGACTGACATTCGAGTGCACGAAGCTCATTCACTGGTGCTTGATAAGGAGGCTGAAAACCTCCGCCTCAAGATCCAGTTCCACCAGATGACACAGGGCAACAGGTCAGATGGAGGTGTATGATTTTTTCGTCTCGTTTTTTTTTTTTTTCATTTGTTCTTGCTACCATATGTTTCTTTTGTTGTTGTTTTTGTGTTCTCACTGTTGCATGTATGTTTTTCTCCTACACTAGTATCTGATTCAAGTTGATGTTACATAGGTACATATGTGTTGTACATTTAGTAGTAGTACATGTCAAGTAGTACATGTGAATGTGATCCTTATCCTGCTCTCCTTTGTGCATTAGATTGAGGACTGTCAAAGAGCTCATCCATTAGCCTTGCACGAGTAGCCTGACCTGGAGTGCCATCATATGTCCTGTCACCAACTACTTCATCACCATCTGGAGCCTCATACTCTTGAGGAATGAAATCTTCGCCCTCTACACGAGCCCACTTTAGAGAACTCTCGTATGTTCCATCCTGTTTGTGATGGTCGGTTTCGAAGCGGATGATCATGTTGTGCAGGATGATACAACACTTAATCCACTGCACAGCAAACTCGAGGTCTTTCTCGGTCTGAATTCTGAACCGTAGCTCTCGAAGAGACTGGAACCGTCCCTTCAAAACAGCAAATGTGTGTTCAACACGAACACGAATCTAAATAAATGTAAATCAATTGAAAACCACCAAAAAAAAAACATACCTTAGAGAGGTGATAATTGAATGTCTTCTGGTTCTTCGTCAGCCGTCCATTGCGAGGCTTCTTGAAAGGGGGAATACACCATGGTTCCAATGGATAAGCACTGTCCGCCCAAACCCAATGACCATCAGGCAGAAGATCAGCGTGCTCGTTATAGAGGCGAGTGGATCGAAAAGCGAATGCGTCATGGACGCTCCCAGGATGACCGAGAGAATAATCAACGATCAGGAGGTTGTGGGGTAAGATGACTGCCTAGAATCAAATTAATTTTTGCACATGAAGATGACAAAAAAAATGTTACCTGACAGCCAAGGGAATACTTCGACTTCCTATCATAAAATGTCTCACCATAATAACCCGGTTTCGTGAACAGATCTATGGTTGAGCCATCAATGGCTAGAAAACCACCTCTCCACTCTGGACAAGTACGTGACTCGGCAAATTTGCGAGCCAGGTCACTATCCTCAGAGTCACCTGCTGGGAAGCAGATAAACTGATCATGGGCATCGAGCACCGCGACCATCACACGATTAGTGCAATTGACCACTGACCCGACACTCACGCCTGCCCATTGAGCGACATCCTCGAGAGAAATGGCATTGCCATAGTGGCCTGCACGATTAAGAAAAATGGCAAGCTGGATGGAGACGGGGAGCTGAGGATTGTTGGACTGGTTCTGGAAGATAGGGTGATTAGAGATATGATCGAGGATATCATCGAAGATCTCCGGGTTGACACGAAGTTTCTGCCGAAACAAGTGAGGGCGATGTTCCTCGTGGTGAACCAGCATGTGAAGTTGAGATGCTCGCGGAGGAGGCTCATCAGGCTTGTGGAGTACACGTGCCCTCTTGACCTCATCACGAAGAGCAGCGATGGTGTCCTGGAGCCTGTCGTAAGGTGCAGCGATGTCATCGGATTCGTCACTGGAAGAATCCGCAATCCCCGTCCCAGGGGAGAGGGGAGAGATGGGAGAGATGGGAGAGAGGGGGGATTGGGGGGATGGGGAGCTAAATGACAGGCTGAAAGAGTCGTCATGATCATCGCCTGAAGCAGAAAGCGAGTTCGAGTCGGAGTCGGTATCAGACTCAAAGTCCGACCAGTCGTCCAGCATATCCTGATACTGCAACCTAGCCACGGAAAGTGCAGCCTGATCGACAATATTCAGGAGGTCTTTACGAGTGGATGGGCGAGGCATAGTTATGGTGGGGGGCTATGGTGCGTGTGGGATCAAAACTCCTATCTGCGTGTATATGTGACGCAGTTTTGAGCGGAGTTTAAAAGTTGCGGAAAGTTCCGATGTTTCGTCTCGCGCTGTCTATTCTTATCCAGATCCCACACGCATCCCACCTGACCAGCAGCGCCTTACCTTCGCTGGAAAGCAGCTTGAAGATGGCCGTACTCTCAGCGACTACAACATCCAGAAGGAGTCTACCCTTCGCTCAGTCTCGTGTCTCCGCAGAGGCATGCAGATCTTTCCCCCTCAGCGACTACAACATCCAGAAGGAGTCTACCCTTCGCTCAGTCTTGCGTCTCCGCGGAGGCATGCAGATCTTCCCCCCTCAGCGACTACAACATCCAGAAGGAGTCTACCCTTCACTCAGTCTTGCGTCTCCGCGGAGGCATGCAGATCTTCCCCCCTCAGCGACTACAACATCCAGAAGGAGTCTACCCTTCACTCAGTCTTGCGTCTCCGTGGAGGCATGCAGATATTCCTCCCCCATCGCGCATCTGCCCTCTCAACGCATACCCAGCCCCCATTGCGCATCCGCCCCCCCAAACGCATACCTGCCCCCAGCGCACATCTGCCCCCTAGCCCATACCCAGCCCCAGCCCCCAGCGCATACCCAGCCCCCATCGTGCATCCGCCCCCCCAAACGCATACCTGCCCCCAGCGCACATCTGCCCCCTAGCCCATACCCAGCCCCATCCCCCAGCGCAAATCTGCCCCATCACGCATCCGCCCCTCAAACGCATACCTAGCCCAGCGCAAATCTGCCCCCCACATATCCCTCCCAACGCTTATCCTCTCCTTCCCCCCCGCTCTTCCCCTCAGCACTTATTTTGTTCCATCTGGCGCTCCCTACCTACGGCTGATTTCATTGGGGCGGGGCCTTAGTTTTTTTTACAAGTGTATTACTACTACCATTTGAAATACAAGTATGTTGGAGGATCTGCTACTCGTTTTGAAGCTACTAGATCGCGGTTACTTTTTCTATTCTCTCTAAAGTACACTTTCCCCTATGTATATTCACGCTTTGAAAAAAATCACAAGTGTTGTTTTAAAGGTCCGACTTTGTGCCGACTCGTGCCGAGCATGTTCTGTTAAACTTTAGCCGTGTTGGAAGGGTTTAGCCGTGCTCTACGCGAGTTTCCAAAAAGTTTTGGATCTTATTTTGAGTACCACTAATATGTCTAAACAATATTTTGCACTATCCTAGCCGTTTTGGCCATGTCCAGTTTTCCCTGGGGTTCAACTTTGAGCTCCCCTATTGTCAAGTCTTGTTTGACCGCTTCGTGTAGGTGCGTTTGTGTTTGCCTTGATTAATTCTGACGCTGCCGTCGCTAGCTTTCATTCAGGACCAAATTACTGATCCCTTCCATCTGTAGCACATCTAGAAATACGGGCTATTCCTGCCTCGCGGGCTTGCGATTCACCATCTGCCAAGAAGAGCTCGTTTCCCTCGCCTTTCCATCCCACAGGCAACGTTCTCAGCCGATTGAGGATGGACTCGAGAATTCTGGGAACGCGTGCCCTAGTGAACGGCTTAGCTCCTCCGTGTGACCCATGTTCTCAAAGTGCCGTTTTGCAGCAGGACCACATACCACTGATGTAAGTAGGCCGTCTTTCACTATTTCTTCTAGTTGTAGTGCATGGAGGCTGATGATATTCTTTCAGGGATAAGTATCATTCACATTATAGGGACGTGAACGAGCCGATACCATCGTGTATGCCCTTTCCAACAAATTTACTGTCCAGACGTTATGTGGATCTGTCGTAGCGTGCCCTCGCACCAATCGAATACGGCAGCCACCCTGCTATGCCACTGCTCCCGTTATCGAGATCGAAATCTAACTTGATCACGTTGCTACACCACTAACCTTTGAAGTAGGCGTGACTAAACATCATGACAGAGATTCTGTGTGTTTCAAAGATATGTGTGACTGCAATTGGTCTCATCTCGAAGCTCTGCACCCTGTCTTAACGTATCATATTACAACCACTATTTTCTTACAGGAACGAAACTCCAAACGCTGGTCGATGCCCGAAGCACACCATCCTACTTAATACTTTTTTGTCGTCACCTTCTCCTGCTCACAGATGGCCTCCTGCGCGCTTCACTTCCTACCCGATCCCAACCGCCTAGCTCTCCCTCCCACTCATTCTTGAGGTGCGCGCACGTCGTGAGCGAGTTATTCAACAAGAATCTCGGGAGAGGCTGATTGCGGACCAGCAGCCGGCTATGCTTGCCCTAAGCTGCTCGTGAGTAGTATTTGTCCAGCGTCGTATAGGTGATATCTATGACTGTTGGGAGTGCGTTCAAGAATTCGGCGAGCAATTTTTCAGACGAGGGTAGAAATGGTGAGAATGGTACTGATTACAAAATGACCGTCCTCGAGAGACATGGCTAAATTTCAGTAATTTTATGGTTGATCCAGGAGATACTAAACGGGAGAACGAGCCTAGAGATATAGTAACCATGGGGAGAATAGTATGAAACCGCAATCAATTCGAACTTTGCGAGTGTTCTACAGTACATGATCGTGGAGTAAGTAGCAAATGAAGCAGAAAAAAGTCGTAACGGACGGTACCACAACAAGGCAAACATGTGTTGTACGAAATCTGTGTAGAATCACGATCATCAGTCAATTAACAAAGCACATGCGTCCTGTGTCCGACACTCGTGCCAAGATGTGCCATGCGCGAGATAACTCAAATCAAACTGCGAGGCGTGATTGGGTATCACGAGTGTGTTGCCTGGCGCATACATCACCGGATGGAAATTGAGTGGGATCCAGAGAAGAAGCCGGCCTTCGGGACCGACAACCCATCCCTCCTCGTTCGAAATGAAAGAGGCTGGGGTGGAAGAGTCTTGGCGAAAAGAGGAGGCAGAATGAAGAGCGTGGGTTGGGTTAGGTGAAAAACATATTGCAAGCGTGGAAGGGTGGTCCCGGTTGAGAAATTCTATATCCCATACCCGGATAGTTTTGTCAGATGACCCAGACATGATGTATTTGCCATCGGGCGAGATTGCGACAGAAATAACGAAGCTAGTGTGCCCTCGGAAAGGGGCACCCACTGCCTCGCCAGTTGCCATATCCCACACTTGGATCGTCCTGTCAGCTGAACCGGACACGATGTGATTGCCATCCGATGAGATTGCAACAGTGTTAACGGAGGCAGTGTGGCCTTGGAGAGCGTCGCCCAATGGCTCGCCAGTCCCCATATCCCACACCCGGATGGTCTTGTCCCATGAGCCAGACACGATGCGTCGGCCATCCAGCGAGATTGTAACAGAGCGGACTTGGTCAGTGTGGCCTCGGAGACAGGCACTCGAAGCCTTGCCAGAACCCATATCCCACACCTGAATTGTCTTGTCACTTGAACCAGACACTATGGAATTTCCGTCCGATGAAATTGCAACGGACCGAACATAGCCAGATTGCCCTTCGACGGGGCGACCCGATACCTCGCCAGCCTCCACATCCCACACCCGAACCGTCTTGTCAAATGAACCAGACACGATCCGGAGTCCATCCAGCGAGATTGCGACAGAGATGATAACGCTAGTGTGTCCTAGGAGAGGCGCACTCAATGCCTCGCCAGTCCTCATATCCCATATCCGGATGGTCTTGTCAGCTGAACCAGATATAATACGATGTCCATCTCGCGAGATTGCGACGGACCAAACCTGGTCAGAGTGTCCCTCGAGAGGGGAAGTCAAGGCCGTGCCAGTCCCCATATCCCACACCCGGACTGTCTTGTCACTTGAACCGGACACTATGCGCTTCCCATCTGGCGAGATTGCGACAGAGTACACGGAGTCAGTGTGGCTTTGGAGGGCGGCAACCAATGCCTTCCCTGCAATGATGTTGGCATCCCACACCCGAATCGTCATGTCACTTGAACCAGAGACTATGCGCTTTCCATCCAGTGAAATGGCAACAGACTTAACATAACTAGAGTGGCCCTGGAGAGGGGATCCTAATGGTTTGCCAGTCTTCATATCCCACACTCGGATCGTCTGGTCGTCAGAACCGGACACGATGCGGTGTCCATCCGACGACATTGTGACAGACTTAACAGAGGAAGTGTGGCCTTGGAGAGGGGCACTAAATGGCTCGCGAGTCTCCATATCCCACACCCGGATCATGTTGTCGTCTGAACCGGACACAATGTGTTTCCCATCCGGTGAAATTGCGACAGACTGAACATCATTAGTGTGCCCTTGGAGAGGAACCCCCAACGCTTTGCCAGTTTTCATATCCCACACCCGGATGGTCTTGTCCACTGAGCCGGACACAATATGATTTCCGTTCGGTGAGATTGCGACAGATGTAACAGGCCTAGTGTGTCCTTTGAGAGGGGATCCTAATACCAAGCCGGTTCCTATATCCCACACCCGGATTGTTTTGTCCTGAGAACCAGATACGATGTGATTTCCATTCGGCGAGATGGCGACAGACGTGACCCAGTTGGTGTGCCCTCGGAGGGGAGCACCCAATGCCTTGCCAGTCGCCGCATCCCACACCCGGACTGTGTTGTCCCATGAACCTGACACGATGCGATGGCCATCCGGCGAGAATATTACAGATGGAACGATGTAAGTATGGCCTTGGAGAGGGGCACATGATGCCTCGCCAGTCTCCGTATCCCACACCTGGATCGTTCCGTAGAATAAACCACACGCGATGCGTTTTCCGTCTGGCGACATTGCAACTGAGTAAACTGAGTCATTCGTGTGGAGTATCTTTTCCATCTGAGGCCAATTTGCGACATGGCCAGTAACAATGCGCGGGGTGCAAGGAAACTTTGCGGCGAACTGACGAAATATTCTCGACTGAGTTGGAGCGAAAGGCAGGGCGGAAAGGTATAAATGGGGAGTGCTGCGTAGAATGGCGGTCGCGAAGGTTCGAACGAAGCGCAGCGTGTCCCTGGCAGCGTCGCCGATATGCGTGTACTCGGCATCACCCTATGATCACCCCACCACTCATAAGAATCTATTACACGAAGAATAAACTTAAGACACGCACCGCAACCCAACCCACGATAGACAAGAGTGAATCTACCGAGCCACCGAGGCATTTCATCAGGGCCAGTGCTTCCAGCCACCAAAGGAGGCGCTCTCCATTGAAGAAAGCTTCAATTTCCTTAGCGAGTGTTGCTTCGAAGGACGTAGCTGCCACGTGAGTCCCCCAGAATCGACACGAGTATGATAGCTCGGCCGAAATGGACTCTTTTACTCGTTTCTCCAAGTCAGGGACAGCGGAATTAGGCAAGTACGAATTTTCCAAGGCGCAGATATTGAAGCGAAGCCCCCGCTCCGAGTCCATGACCTGAAGGGAGGCGAAGGCAAGGTCGCTCTGTACCGATGTCGTGTCAACGAAGAAGTCTTTGCTCCGCAAATTTTTTGTGAGATAGTCGTAGAAGGATGCATGGAGCGGACGAATGACAGTCTGAGAATCCGTAATCCCGGTCAAAAGCGAGCCCATCGGCTTAATCACCCAATCCACTTCATAATGGTCTTCCGCACGTGGAAAATGCTGCCGCATTGCGGTCAACACCGCCATGGGGGCCGGTTCAGGCGATGCAATAAGTTGCGCCATCACAGAGCGAAACCTGGCGATTGCTTGCTCGCGCTCATGCTCTGGCATTATTTCTGTCAAGATGGTTGTATATATAGAATCCAATAGAGGTGTTCCTTTTTCAGATGTTCCAGTAGTCACAGCCTCGAACCGCTCGGTCGGACTAAAGCCAATTGTGTTACGCTTGATATAATCGCAGGCGAGACGAGCCCATTCAAACAGGCCGTCGGATTTCTCAGCAAGGCTCTTGAAGTGTCCATCGTCAAACGTGAGGCGCGGGCCTTTCAGCAATGTGGAGATGTAAGACTGGATGTCACGTTCTGCGGACTCGACCGAGATTTCATCCATGGAAATATGATGAACATGTGACGGGGTACACAGGGTATCCCCGATGTCTTCGAGGGGACGAGAAGTTATGATGATACGGAAGTTTTCTGGAAGTTGGGATGGTTGGGCGGAAGACGTGTCCGGGTCGCCACCAAGCAGACGGAGAATTTGTTCCCGGGATTTGGGGTCGCCACTCTCGTCCAACGCGTCGATGATTATCAAGACAGGTGCAGTGATTGCTTTTGAGGCCTCGCCGACTGGTCCTACGACTAGCTCCTGCCATTGTCTTGAGATGTCTACGGTGTTCTTGAGCTCGTTGACATCATGAACTGCACGCGCTAATGCTCCCCGCATGGTAATATCCCAATCGGCCAAGTCGCGTGCTATTGTAGTGAATATCCTGTCGTGAAGGCGCTCGGCTTCCCTTGTGCGATCGAAGCAGAAACAAGCTCGCATTCCCCCGCGCTCATGAGACCAGTTGGCTATGGTGTGTGCGATGGCCGATTTGCCTTTCCCCGCCGTGCCAGACAACCATAAGACGCGCGGCACGTCCTCCCCCGTGCTACGAATCCAGCACTTGATCTCGGACAGAATGTCTTCCCGGGTGCCCGGGAGACAATTCTTGAAGGAATTCCGTCCAGCACCATCCACACATTTCATGCCGCTAACGTCCAGGTCCTCGGCTAAATCATAGGTTTCAAATTTCAGAGAAGGCTCGTAGAGAACTTGAACTTAATCGTACCGATACGGTGGACAATTTCGATGGTGGTAAGAGCCATTCGATCTCGGAACTGTTGCATGAGATTATCAAGAACCTCGTTGTGGTTTTGAATCGCGGCCTCTGTTTCGTTGAAGACGTGCTTGCCAAGTCTTTGCCCTGTGAAAAGAGACTGAGTCTTGGGCGACGCTGTGGTGGAAACGACTCACAGAAACTCTTCATCTCCGAGTAATGGACGACGAAGTCGGCACACTCGAGCGTCTGTCGTGCAATCTTTCCAGATATCTCTAGCATGGATTGAATCCTGGCCAATTCCTTATCTTTCGTGATGAAGGCATACACTTCAGAAATCTTCGAGAGCAGACTGGAAACAGCGTCATCGCGGTCCACCTGATTGAGAATCATCTGTCACGAATAACTCCGTTAATTTGTGAGGGTAATGTATTGAAAGAAACCCACCTTGGACGCGCAAGTGAAGATGCTCAACGCCACTTTCGCGTAGGGATGGACCTACAGATGAGTATTAGTCGCGTACAAAACAGAGATAGATGCACGTACATCTCCAATGCGATTGGCAATGTCATTGAACAACTTCAAGGGTCCAAGCAATGCGGAGAATGTGTCGACTGTATCGGAAATAGATTGTAAGTTGTTAGCCGCTGAAAAAGTATTTTGGGCAATTGCTGGAACGTGGCCGATGCCTGCGACACCTGTTTGGGCATGCGCGAGCGTTTCTATCACAAGCTTCACGTCAGGTGGCGATTCTGCCTGGTTACAGGCATTATTACATTATCGAAAGACGGAGACAAGGCTGCTCGAACTCACCTTGGTAATGCCTGTATTTGAAGACTGGTCATGATTTGGTTCGGGAGTGCGAGCAATGGGTGGTGAAGGATCCTGTAGCAATACTTAGTAGCAATCATTGCACACGGGCATGCACAGAGTTAAGATTCCACATGCCTTGATTACCTCAAGGGGCTGGATATCCTGTGGAGTGGAAATTGCAGCCGTGGTTTCAGGGTTGGGAGAACGTCGAGCGCTGGAAGCAGAACGTTTGGTGAACTTGCCGATGAACTTGGAAATCCGGTTGCGAGATGCATTCCTCGAAGGCGGGAGAGAGGACGGCTGTATAAATTAGAAACAATGTGTGGTTATAAAGACGAAAGTCCATACATCACTGATTGCCCTCCTGCCTCTCCCCCCTGACAAATCAGAGTCTGAACGGCATAGTTTCAACGGATTCAAGCGTTTCTTCCAAGGAGGATTATTCTCAGTCATATGTTGGAAGGACGAGGCTGAATATGAGGTTGTTTGGTGCAAAAGGGAACGAGGAAAGTGGTGGATGGCACGCAGGGCGAACAGGCGGCTGTCGCATGTTCGCGCAGAGGATATTTACACAAACGACGAACACGCGTTCGGAAGCGCCCATTATCGATTGGCTGGACTGATATATCGTCGATATGCATGGAATGTTATCGATGCGGCTGAGGTGGGTTAATTTGACAAAAGGACGGCATCGAGAAACCTGACCGTTGTTGGGTGCAAAGAACCGGTGGAGTGGTGCTCATGCTGCGTAGTATTGCAAGGACAAAGGTCATTAACATTCACCAGCTGCAGCCTGCAGGTACTATACATGATTGTGACTTGGAGTGATTGGCGCACTGAGTCATCTGACCGTCTCTACTATTTGCGCATGTTTGGTTGAGATTTCTGAATTAAAAAACGACACCAGCAGGATTTGAACCTGCGCACGGGAACCGTAAGAGATATCACGTATTCGAATCTCTCGCCTTAACCACTCGGCCATAGTGCCTTTATCTTCGAGTAGACTCTGCCCAACATAGGATACCAGTTTGTCTCATTTACATTACACTTTCCAATTTCGTCAGTACTCTAACTCTTGCACTGCAGCACGACTGGCGATGGACTGGTGCGTTACTCAATTTCACGTTCATACTTCCTCTGATAATGCTATGGTAGCCTAGAGTTGAACATCCGCCAGCGAATTCTGTCCGACCTTGCTACCCTTGAAACGGAAACAGAAGAGGACCTCCTCACTACTCGTGAACTCATTCAATCCAAGGCCCAGCTGGCAGATGAAGAACGCAGTCTACCCAATGGCGATTCTGTGGAAATGGATGTTGAACCTCGCGCATTCATGGTACGTGTCCACTCAATCTCTGTGCCTTGACTTATAATGAGGGTGCAGTCCGAGGCGAGGGCCCATTGTAACATTGCTTTTGGGGAACTTGTCGCGAACTTTCCAAAGGAACATATCTTCAACTACATTGATACTCTCATTCCCGTATTGACGGATCTTTTGCGCGACGTACCACGCGTAGACTTTGACCCATGTCTCTCATGGGATGGTATGTCATCTTTCAAGTACTGTGGTTAGTGCCCCTGACCGTCCAACAGAGTGGGCTCTCCCTGACCAGCTGGTCTTCTCTACCGTTTCTGCCCTTCTACGTATATGCGGCGCACACCCAGAACACGCGGACAGAGCTGTCACGTCCATTATCAATTTCGTCGCTGACATCGTTCAAAATCTCAAGGATTCCGGTTGTAAGGACTTCATCTACCCTTCAATGCAGGCGTTCTGATATCCCCATAGCAATAGATGTACTTACACACCTCACACCTTCTGTCCACGGACTCTACCGTGCCATCACTTCTACTCTCTACCCATGGACCGCTTCTCAATGGCGCCTTCTTTCCGACTCCCTCCAATCCCTTGTTGCGACTCCCATCCTTGAACGAATCAACCGTCTCCTACTTGATATACATCAAGAAGCCGACGCCGATCCTGACACCGACGCCACCTCCATCGCCTTCTGCCACACCTTCATATCTCGGTACATTGCATTCGGACGCCCACTGAGCGGATATTTTATCGTATGCTGTGTCATGGAGATGCAATGGACTGTGCTCGCCCAAGCCCTCGCGAGTACTCCTCTGGTGCACAAGGGTCAGGTGCGCGAAGCGGCGGCGGCAAACAAAGCGTGGGTGAACCTCATGAAATGCCCTGCCAAGGATTTGGGACTAGAGAACGATGAGGAGACAAAGGAAGGATTGACGAATGTCATTAGGGATGCACTGCAGTGCTTTAGTGATCTGCTGGAGCAGATCGAGGGTATGGACACCGAACCTCCTGTTGATACGTATGCATGGGAAACCATGTCCGAGAGCCTGGTGCGCTTTTCGCTTGCTTAAATTGGCCAAGTGTTATCTGACCCATAATCCATGAATAGAAACTAGCATCCGTCTGCTCAGTCGCGCTTCGAGAGCTGGATGAGAGTCTACACACTCGCCTGACACAACTATTGAGTGACAGTCCACCCATCCTGGACAATCTCGTTCAGGAATCGGCGCTCAAAGCTACTACAGTACTTGTACGAAGGTTAGTCAGGTTGTGACACCCACAGCGCTTCCCTAGCTCATCTTTTACAGCTTCCCGGAGATCGCTCCGTCTTTTGCAATCCATCTCCGCCGCTTCGTCACTTCGCCTCTTTCAATATTCGAGTTTGCATTCAATACCGAGAAGCGCGCACCCCCACCTCTGACAGCGGCTGCCAAATGCCTTGCGCTTTGTATTAAGGTACGCCTTTTCTTACCCAGTTCTGTCAATACACTCATGCCTTCCCAGCTATCACCTGGTGATGACTCTATCATGTCCAACATGTACTCTCTGCTCAATTACATCGCTGCGACCTCCAAAGAAATAACCGAATCTTCTTCTTCCAACCAACTCCTTTCCAACCCCCTCTACACCTCCTCGATCACCTTTCCCAACGATAACATCACTTTCCAGAGCGACGAAACAGGGCTGCACGGCCGCTCAGACGAAGAGAAGCGGCTCATCGGCATCACAACTATCTCCGTTGTCACGCGCCTTGCGCTCGAGTTCCACACGGCGGGCCAGGAGGAGGTCACTAAGTTAACAATCTCGATGCTGCTGCAGCGTTTACGGACTTCGGAGGCGACTCTCGAAGCTGCGATTGCATATAACCTTGTCGACCTCGCGCTCGTAGCTCCCGAAGAGTCATTTGTAGACGTTGCGCGTGCATTTTCCCTCATTAATCGCGCTACGAACTTGGAGGACCCGAGATTCTCGAATAACATGGTATGCAGGGGATCGTGTGTGTGTGTGGTACGCGTGCTGATGGATAGCAGGTGTTAGCCGCCCAGACGAGGCTTGCGCGGGAGCTAGACCAAAGACCAGATTTGTATGATGTATACTTGGTTGAGTTGCTCACTCTCTTCGGGGATAAAGGCGTTGCTATCCAGAACGTAGCGACGTCCGACCGACATGTCAAAGTAAGTTCGCTCATACATTGTATTCTTGTGCTGAACCTTAGATTCAGACAGAAGAGATGATCGAGCAGCTGGCTTCTCTACTGTTGCCGATTGAAGCACTTCTTACCCATGCGGATTACTCCCCACACCTGGCCGCTTCCCAAGAGCTTACTGGCCTCTTCCGGAATATGTGGTTCCTCTGCGTTCTCTTTTACTTCACATCTGGTGAGGAGCGGAGCGCGATGACGTGGCTCATGCCTGCGCTGGCGAAAATTGCTACAAAGACGCCAACTCTTGTACTCGAAAATGCTCATGACGCAGCGAGCGAAATCGAGTATAGCACTGTCATCCGGCATGAATATGCGCATTCTGTTGGTGCTGCGTTGTTTGGAAAGGGCGTGTACTTAATGATTTTTGACAGGTCATTTCCAAGCATCGGTCGTTCCTTACACGCCATATTCCGCATCGCACGAGTGAAATACGCTCGTTGTCCCCGGGACAGGTAATCTTCTTGCTGATGATGCATGACGTTGAAAGCATGCGGTCTGCCGCTGGTCTCCCGTCGTCTTTGGTGTCATATTTCACAAATGGTAGCCTGAATCAACAGAGCCATCTTAGTGTATGCATGGAGTCTGTAGCGGACAAGGTAATATTCATCTTCAGATATAATACGCTGAACTGAATCGTCAACAGGTGGTTCGTGGATGCATTGGGGAGATGAATGCCCAAGCTTTGGAACAGGCACTACCAGCCCACCTCTCGGAGGAGCTTCGCAAGTTGCTTGTAGCCAGCACCCATCGCATATCTCGTGCTCGGGACGTCGCGACCAAATACCTATTCAGCTTGATCACCTCATTTCCTTCTCTCATGTGCGACCCGCCACTGGTGTATGCAATCCTTGAGTGTCTTACTCTTCTGCGTCACGCATGCGAAAACGAGTTTACGGACGAGGTGATAAAAGTGTGATTCTATTGATCGAGTAGCTAATGTTAAATTTTATTGCAGTACAACCCGGTGTACGAGTTCCACTCCGAGTCTACCGGCATCACGCTTCAGCTCACGGACGACTATAAAGTGCGAAACGACATCCTTGGGCAGCTGCAGCGCAATGCCAACACGTGGTTTGAACTTGCACTTAGTCGGGCTCCCATCGAGCTCCAGTCGACGCTTCAGGTTCGTTTTTTACCATTGTCATTTGCAGTCCTTTTCACTCATGTTCTCGGTACAGAAATATCTTGCAGCTACGCAACCACTCATCGGTGCAGATGCTGCTGAATTAGGAGCCTCTGTTGCAGTAACGTTTGCTAAGGCCTTTGGTCCTGTGCACCGACAACTTTGTAGGCGTTCAGTCTGAAATCACGCTTCAGTATTTGATCATTTTGACATCACAGCCTCTCTGTGTAGCTTATCAAACTGGAAGTCTGATCGTGCCCGCGCTCTTGCCGGTCAACTTGCGAGTAAATGCTACTTTTCGGGAGAGGTCGCTGGTTTGCGACTCGCGGCTCGTAAAAGTGAGTCGATCTGCCTTGAGCCTTTATTGCTTTTAATGTTTGCAAGATCAAGATTCGCTAGACAAAGTAGCTCCTCAAATGCAATGCACTGGCGTCCAGCCTTTCAAGGATAAGATGGCCGACACTATGAACGACATACGGAATAAACGCAGTTCTTTAACTGTTCAAGATCTGAAACGTCTTTTATCCCGTTGCGCAGCCATTCTCATAGCACTGGAGAAGGTGAGGCTATGATTGATATGCTTCTGGCATCTGTTCTCACTATTCGCAGTGCGATTACACCTTGATCTATTTCCTCGTCGCTCTGCCGTTTGAGGTTTTCACGCCCTCTGCTATCGCTGCTGGTATTGAGACGTGGACGTGGGTCATCGCGGAGCGTCCTAACATGGAAGTGGCTATTATGTGTGAAGTGCTCACGTCTTGGTTTGGGACTGTGAAGGAACGGAAGGGCGTGTTCTCAGCTTCTTCCAAGTGCGTCGGATTTTGTGCATTCTAAATTTCTGAGTGATTGACATTCCACAGCTGTGTTGACCCCTTCTACCATCCCATCAGTTACAGTCCAACCGACAAGGACGAAATCGATCGAGCGACGACTCATGCTCGTCGATTACTCATGCCACATACCTTGGTCTTACAGATGTTATTCAGTCGACTGCAAGCGGCTAGATACTGTCGCTCAACTGTGATGTTCCTCATCCAGGGACTTGTTTTGCGATCTGCGCGAGCGCACAAGTTATTCAGGTACCTCATTAGTTTTAATTGTTTGCAGCCATATTGACAGTTCTTCCAGCACTCATCCGTTGGCTCGAGAGCTACGCTACACGTTCCTTCTTTTCGGACTGGAAACGTTAAAGAGCTCTCATCTGGATGCTGTCTGTGAGTGTATGTTGCGCGAAAGTCTGTATTACACGGCATATTCGTGGTTTGCTGTTCGTCCGCAGTGAGTATAGTCCCTGAATCCGTACTTGTGCAAACGCTCATGCCGCTCAGGTGGTCCTTTGGAGCCAATCGAGTGCAGGTTGATGCTGACATCAAAGTCCTGTCTGAGTTCCTTGTGCATCTGCAGGGTGACTCGATCAGGAATATGGCCTCTCTTTCGAGTCTTGCTCCTCATCAGTCTGCTTTGAAGACGTCCCGTGAGTACAGCGATCGTTCTTTTCCTCGTGTTGAACTGATCAGATGTAGTCTATGCCAAGCGCTTACAAAGCATCAACCAGCCGCTCCGCCTTCTGATAGAGAATGAGATATTCAGGCTTACGGTCTGGGCCAATCCCAGCAACGAAGCGAAACGAGGCAGTGACCCTCATTCCCTGCTAGAGCGTAATACGCTTGAGGTAAGCTCCTCCTTCAATCTGCGAATGGGGACTCACGTAATTTCGACAGTCGACTTGGCCTGGCGTAGTCCGAACAGTGTGGGAGATAGACCCAGCCATAGCGGTCTATCTGACCGAGCGCTTCAAAAGCCCAGCGGCTCATGCCGAAGTGCAGAATCTGGTTCGTTCCAACGCCAGCCAGGTGGTTGACACCCCAGAAGCTCTCCGATTTTTGATCGGAGATCACTTCCGAGGTGGACAGAGACGAGAGCTGAAGGTGATTTCCTATCTGCTATGTTGTGATTCGAGAGTTCACGCTTTTGTCAGTATATTATTGCGTGGGCGCCTGTTACTCCTGTGATCGCTGTTACCTTCTTCGAGCGACGGCACGGCAACGATCCGCTTTTGTTACAATATGCACATCGAGTCCTCAAGCAACATCCTGTCGATTTGACATTCTTTTTCGTTCCTCAAGTCGTCCAGGCTCTTCGGTTTGATGACCTTGGTGTGTATATGTCACCTGCTGCTGTTATGGTTTCTGAATGGTGGCTTTAGGATATATCGCACAATTCATTTTCGAAACCGCAAAGGTTTCTCAGCTCTTCTGCCACCAGATCATATGGAACATGAAAGCCAATTGCTACAAGGACGATGCTGCCGAGATCGTGAGTTCGACGCGTGTATTCATTTCTGCTCCGCTGACGCTAGATCAGGAGGATCCTATGAAACCTGCGCTAGATCGGATGACTGATATGGTGGTGGAGTCGCTGTCTGGTGGTGCCCGCGCCTTTTACGATCGGGAATTCGGATTTTTCAACGAGGTCACCTCGATTTCTGGGAAGCTGAAGCCTTTCATCAAAAGGTCGAAACCAGAGAAAAAGGTGAGACCCTCAGTGATCATCCTGGATATAATTTAATGTATTTTCGCAGGCAAAAATTGACGAAGAGATGGCCAAGATAGTTGTCGACGTCGGAGTCTACCTGCCCAGTAACCCAGACGGTATTGTTATTGACATCGACAAGAAGTCCGGTCGCCCGCTTCAAAGCCATGCCAAGGTTTGTACACCATTATGTCGCCTATTTTTTACTCAACCAAACTTCACCGAAGGCACCGTTTATGGCTACTTTTAAAGTGAAGAAGGAGCGCGTCATCATTGATTCCGACCCGGAGTCTCTTTTGGACGGTGCACTTGAGAAACGCGAGGAATATGACGTTTGGCAACAGGCTATCTTCAAAGTTGGGGACGACTGCCGACAAGATGTATTAGCCTTACAGATCATCGCGATGTTCAAAAACATCTTCACTAGTATCGGGTTGACCCTCTATCTCTTCCCCTACAGGGTTACCGCGACTTCCGCTGGAGTGAGCACATTCTTATTTTCTTTGACACCGGACCAATCTTATGTGCTATCATAGTGCGGTGTCATCGACGTCGTGCCGAATGCTACATCTCGAGATGAGATGGGAAGAGCTACAGTAAATGACTTGCTAGACTTCTTTACTTCAAAATACGGCGGAGAAGAGACCGTTGCGTTCCAGCGCGCTCGCCTTAATTTCATTCAGTCTATGGCAGCTTACTCCGTTGCTTGCTATATCCTCCAAATCAAGGACCGTCACAATGGGAACATTATGATTGATGGCGAAGGGCACATCGTGCATATCGGTAAGTATTGCTTGTCTAAGAGTACGGCAACTGACATTGAGCTTGATCACAGACTTTGGATTCCTGTTCGATATAGATGAGTTTTTCATTTCATGGTCGCTGACATGCTCGCTTACTTTGTTTGTTGTATAACCACGTCCTGGAGTGAGTCCCTATCGTCGTTTGACGACGATATCTATCTTCTGACTATATTTTGCAGGGAGTCAAGTTTGAACCCAGCTCCTTCAAGTTAACCCACGAGATGGTGGTTCTAATGGGTGGCAGATATTCTCAAGGCTACGAACTATTTCAGCATCTGACGGTGAAGGCTTTTCTCGCCATCCGGCCTCATGCAGATCAGCTCGTCAGTACAGTCCAACTCATGTTGGGAACCGGTCTCCCGTCGTTCAAGGGTGAACCCACCATCAAGCGGCTCAAAGATCGATTTGCGCTCGGGTTGAATGAGCGTCAAGCTGCCGAATGGATGATGGGAATCATCCGCAATGCTCATGAAAATGTGAGGAGCACAGCTTATGATGAGTTCCAACGGGTACGTGATTCTTGCCTGCGATCATTCAACAGACATGCTCATGTCATTTGCTCAGATACAAAATGGTAAGTCGGAAGAATACTTGATACGATCCCTTTGGGACCTGAGGCATTTGCAGGTATACCGTACAAGTAGCAAATGCTACTTAAGAGTCGATCATTGGATACTGTCGAGCTTAGAGATAGAAATGTGCCATGGCCTATCCTGCGGTCTTGCCTTAAACCACATTTCAGTGCTGGGGATGTTTCGATCGCGTTTGTTAGTTCAGACCACATTAGTTATCAGTGATTACCAGGGTTCGTCTATATTTGGCAGCCGAACTTATTGTACTTCCAGTGGCACCCCGTGGTTGAGCTTATCGATCAACCATCTACTCTTGCTTCTTGCGTGCCCTTGTCGTTTTCATGGAGTTCATCATTCGAAACGTAGACTTCGAAGCAACTGATTACGAGGTCACGAAAGCGATTGCAGAGGTTTTGCATGCGTGCCCCGGTCCATTTGTGTCGGATGCCGATGCCCAGCAACGACTTATCAACTTCAGAGTCGCGCTGGAAAAGAACGAGTGCGGAGGTGTTCGTAACAAAGGTTTCGGGTCACTCAGACTGCCTTCCAAAGACGTGGGGCTGAAATTCCGTCGGCTTGTTGACGGCGAAGATGGTACCACCATCAAGGTCGGCAAAAAGCGTCTGAAATTCATCCCTACAAACAAGCGCATCCCAAACGACATACTAGTCACCCTTGCAAAGGCCCCATACGTGGACCCTGATATCGCTCAGAACCGGCAGGAGAAGATCGATGCGTTAAGTTCAGACTTTCGAATCGCTACAGTGCAAATTGGTACGCCACAAGTTTCCTCGTATACCTTTTGCTTGTCGCCTTTGGATCGTATGAACTTATTTCGTAGGCACATTTTATCGCCCTCACGGTGCTAGCCCATCGGATCCACGTGCCTTCAGCGTGGAATGGCAGTCCAATCTTCTCGATGGGCTTGGGTGGTTGAAGTTCGAATACGAGCACAAACTGATCCGTGCGAAGGTTTGGCACATGTTTCATTCTGAATAGAAAAAATTGTATCCTATATTGATCCCATAATTCGCTAGGTTGGTGATCCGGCGCGAGGACAACTGTTGCACAGCCTGATCATTACGTTCGCCAATATCCACAAGATGGCTATAGGCTACGATTTTGGTAATCAATGTAAGCATGGCGTTCACAGCTTGAAGATCTGAATGTAAAATTTCCCTAGACATATGTTTCGATCTGTTCACACCTCCAATAGTCGAAAGAGAAGACTTCAATAGAACCCTTACCGGAACACGCACCGATACGAAGAATTACCGCGAACGCGTCAGTGCTATACATCCAGGACATGAGCAAATTGCTCCGTACGCTCACCACATACGCATCATCCTCTCCGAGCCAGGAGATTTGGATAAGTTCAAGCAGTTCTGTAAAATAGCAGAGCTTCGTCCTCCGGTGGAAGGGGTCCGCATCGAAGCCATTTGCCAGGGATTTTTCACGAGTAAAAAGCTGGCCTTGGTGCAAAGATGGCTGAGATCGTTGAGCTCAGACTGGCCTGTAGCATTTCAGATCGAGGCTCTGCTCCGAAATGGTGTTGCAAATACAAAGGAACTCGAGGATTTGCGCCCGAGGATTGATGAACTGGTTCGCCGCCACCGGCCATTTGCTGCAGCCATCATGCGGTTCTTTGTGGTAAGAGCCGCCGCTCGTCCTCCAAGTCAAACAATACACAAGTGCTTCGAGCTTGTGGTACAACAGAAGCTCGGCAATGTCCGTCCCGAGGCGCCCGCTGGCCGATTTTATTGTCATCGTGTTACAGTCACTCCGACCCGGCTCATCCTCGAAGGGCCCAACATACTACAATCGAATCGCGTTATTCGCGAATACGAAGGCTATGAAGGCAACTTCATCCGAGTCGACTTTCGTGATGAGGATCGTCTCCAGTACCGTTGGGATAGGGAAGTAGATGGGGCGAGCTTTGTCAGGTGCCGTGTCGGGGACTTGCTGAAGGATGGTTTTGAGCTTGCGGGCAAACATTTCGAATTTCTAGCGTATTCCTCATCGGCATTGAGGGAGCATGCTGTTTGGTTCGTTAGCCCCTTCCAGCACGACACCAAAGGGCTCATCGACGCGCATACAATAAGAAGCAGCTTAGGAGACTTCAGCGGATGCATTTATTCCCCCTCGAAGTATGCTGCCCGGATGGCTGTGAGTCAACTGTTTCCGTAAATATCTTCTCTGAACAATTTTTCAGCAAGCCTTTACGGCGACGGATCCATCGGTCAAGATCCTTCGGTCGCAGTGGTCGGAAATGCCTGATATTGTCGAAAACGGTGTCATGTTTTCTGACGGTGTCGGCACCATCAGCGAGGAACTTGGTAATTTAATCTGGAAAACTCTCTGTGACGCTCGACGAGATGGCGGTGCGAATGCAGTGAAACCTTCGGCTGTAAGTGACTTTGACACTCAAAAGTACTGTACTAAGCAGGTCTACAGTACCAAATCAGATTCCTTGGCTTCAAAGGCGTTGTAGCTGTTGACATGCAACTCAAGGGAATTCACCTTTGCTTACGAGAAAGTATGAACAAGTTCAAGGATCACGGAGAAGATTCTGCTATGATAGAGATTGCTCGTCCCGTCGTGAAACCCAACACTCCTCATCTTAACAGGTATCTACATATTCCTGATCATTTCAGTCTTACAGTTTGGGTGCTCAAGCGCCTCGCGCAGACCTTTGATTACAGTTCTAGAAGACCGGGGTGCCTCAAAAGATACGTTTTTAGAGTTGCAGCAAAAGGTTGTTGCGGAGGCACGCACCGCTCATGACTCAGTTGAACTCTTTGCGGCGCTCCTGGAAAGCCACGGATTGTCTCCATCTTTCCGACTGGCATCAACATTACGGAAACTTAATACCCTCGGTCTGGAGTTGAAGCCTACACCTCTCCAGCAAAACATCGACACCCCTTTCTTGACACAATTGCGAGCCTGTGCCATTAACCACGTTCTACGAGCAGTCAAACATGATGCACGCATTCCAATTCCTAACAGCTACATGCTGATGGGTGTCACGGATGAGGGACCTGCTTACGAGAAAAACGGCCACTCGAATGTCTTCAAGCTGCCTCCCGGTAAGATATATGGTATGTCACTTATTTCTGACAGCTCGCTCTGCTTATTTACCTGCCCCCTCAGCGTGTATTCAAAAGCCAGGGGATAATGCGCCTACGTGGCTTCATGGTCCTTGTATGGTCTCGAGGAGTCCTGTTATACATCCAGGCGACGGTATGTTCCTGCCTGTGCAACACGTAACGCAATTTAACTCGAGTCTAGTTCAGCAGTCATATGCCATCGGAAAACCTCCAAGTGATAAATTTTGCCTTTTTGGCCACCTGAAGAATGTGGTTGTGTTTTCATCCACTGGTAGGTGCACGCGTGTTTGACATTTTACCGTCTACCTATATCTTTGACCTTAGGTACAACTTGTTTGCCAAACTCACTCGGCGGTGGTGATCTTGATGGGTAAGAAATGCCACCTCCGTCCTGACCTGAGGTTCACAATTTACAGCGATCTCTATGAGATCATACAACACCCGCCCTTGATCCTCCCGGATCATTATGATCCAGCATCCTATCCTACCGGGAAGCCTTTTACGATCGAGCGACCCAGCACAATTGACGACGTGTGTAATTTTGTTGTGGAATATATCAACTCAGATCTTGTGGTACGTTGATTTCGGGTTAGCGTCAGCCACTCAATGGCTGAAGTGAGCTGCAGGGCCTGGTGTCCGACAAGCATATCACCATTGCAGGCAAGTTTTCTATTCTACAATGATCACGCACCCCAACTTATTACATTCTCCACAGATCAAGCTAGCGTGAGTAGTGTGCTCAAAGGTGTGGAGTGCTCGAGCTCAGATTATATTACAGGACGGAACGTTCAATGAGAGATGCCTGAAGCTCGCAGCGCTTCATAGCCAAGCCGTTGATTATCCAAAGAACGGATGGAAGGTCGATATGGAAGATATTCCTCATAACCTCATCCCCTACAAACCTGATTGGCATGCAGCAGAGGTGGAATCTCCCCGACCGACAGATTATTATGAGTCCGACCGCGCCTTGGGCCACCTATATCGCAACATCAAGCTCGACGACATACCCACCTACGTTCCTCAACAGCTAGAGGAGCCACTGAGTGATCTGATCTCAGTCACACTTCGTCCTTTAGTCGAACGACAACTACAGCGTCGTGAGAAAATTTCGATGCTCAAGAATACAATGGACGGCATGAACAGCATATACTCTGCGTACCTGGACGAACTCATCTACGTTGCAACCTGTCATACACTATCACGAGTACCCGGTGCGCGCCTGCGCGAGGATGAGATCATCATCGGCACTATCCTGGCCAAGTGCTCACAGAAGCGATACAAAAGTGATCGGATGTATGCAATGAGAGAGTGCATTGCTGTCCTCGTTCGCGATATTCGAGGCAGAATGCTACCAAAGAGTATGGAGCACGCGTCGCCTGATGAACTGCGGGATGGCTTACAGAACGGATGGTCTGCTTGGGTACTAAGTCGCGAGAAGGGTAAAGAGGGTTATGAGAAGGGAAAAGAAGGTTATGGCGCGCAAAGTTTCGGTTTGGTTGCGTTGGGAGTCGTGCTGGACTGTCTGGATCAGTTGCAGGAGCTACCCTCACCGCCATCTTAGGGTTATCATTGTACGATGTACTGGCTCAGCTGATATCTACAAGCACTACGGAAGGATTGGCGTGAATAATTTTAGGTCACATGATCTTTGTCACAGACGCGTCTGAATCCTTGACTTTCCTGATCGATTCCAAGTTCAATTCATTCCACTAGTTATCATCGTCGACTTCTCCTTCAGCCCCCGGGAACCCAAGTACTAGACCATTCAATAGTAAGAAGGATAACGAGACGCTCACTGCGCTGATGCTGAACAGCGTGTCTTAATTCAATAAGCAGCCTGCATAGGTCGTAACAGTTTATACACCAAGTCGCGTTTACTAGTTCACAAACTTGATAACTACAGGTATGCATCGAAGTACTACTGGTGCTCTTGAACCTCTGATCACTTGGTCGCGGTAGCCATATAACATCTGGCTTCTTCGTGCCATCAACAAGTCTACTGAACTTTGTTAAGGAGAATGCCAACTTTGCCAAGCAAGAAGGGTGATTGTCCTCTGTCGTTGGAAGCCAGGGCGAGAATTGTGTTTGCCGCTTCTCGGGCAGAAAACGCCAAACTCGTTGAAGAAGTTGATGCTCATATGTAAGTTGTTCGCTATTCTCCTGCTTACTGGACAATGACAATACCTTCTTCGCGTTTACAAGAAATGCTGCGCATGCCACCCTGGCCCGTATCAAAGAGCAGCACGAAGCGAATCGGACCGACCTGTCAGCGCGACTCCAGGCCGATGAAGTAAGTTTCAAGGAGAACGGCTGAAATATTATCTTTCGCTGACTGGTCTCCAAGGAGAAGATTCACGCATTGTGTACAGCGTACTTTCCGTTGCTCGATGACGTCGTTCACCAACGCATGCAAAGTACAGATACGATGAAGGCTATAGGTGAGTTCCGCGCAATCACAGCGCATATACCCAGGATGATCTTGTGCACAGTGCAAACATCGGAAGTGGAAACGCGCAAATCACGAAAGAGGCTGATGGAGAAGACAAAGGCACGCCTTGACGATGCACGAGAAAGGCACAAGGTCTGATAATGATACATCCTCTCGAGTAGCAACATAGTTTAACCCACAACTCACCCGCAGCTCGCTATGGATGCCTCAGAACTCGTGAAACATTACAAAGCACTCGTCCTTGCGCTGTAAATATGATTGTCGAATGCTTTCCGGTTACGTTCTCAGTTTTTGTCCATTCTCTGTAATTCGCACACGTTTGTAGCATGGCCTTGTATCAATAAATCAAATTGTATGGTCTTGATCGGTCAACCTATTTCTATAACATGGTCACTGGGCTCCATGGTTTACTGAGCGTGAGATATCGATAAATAAATTAAATCTCACCAATTCACTGGCGGAACGCTGGAGATGATGATCGTGCTTGGGGGTTGGTTGTGATATCTCAGGCCGAAGATTCAGATATTCGGACATGAACACGCGTAGTATCATATTCCACCGGCGCATGGTTAATACGTCAAGTGCTGAGGCATCATCCTAGAGAATGTCGAGTCAACAGCAAAGACAAGCACATGAAAATGGTGACGAACGCCAAGAGTGTGCCAGATACGCGGGAAAGGATATGCGATGACATGAAGAATGTTGACACCTTTCTTCAGAAAGGGTACATGATCATCTCCGATGTACCCGTAGCTATATTCATTCCCAGAGCCCGTTCGAGGCAAGAAGAAACTGCGGAAGTTCGCAGACGTTTCAGCTGCATCAAGAGCACCAGCATCCTTGAGCCGAGTTTCGGCGGAAATCATGGCATCAAATAACCAAGCTGTATCGATAAAATAGGATCGTATTGTCGGGTTCGGGGCGCCGAGGAGGTCAAGGAGGATGATGTGCTCTACAGTCGATAACTCTGTCAGACTTGCATGCCCGAGCAACCGTCGTTTAGAATTAGGTGCTATGTAAGTTGTCGACCATTTGTCCGCGAGATGTCTAAACGGAAGTATGCCCTTTGGTTTAGTTATCACACGTCATTCTCAAGGGAATGCTGACCTAGCGCCATACACAGAGTCTGTGTCAGTCCAATCTTTGAAAGCTTCCTCGCCATCAAAAAACACAAGTTGGAGGGTTGTGTCTGCCACATCTTCATCTTCATCATCTTCATATTCATCCTCAAAACGTTGCTTGCGCTGGTCAAGAAGTGGGTTTAAAGTCTCTGCTAGGTCGAGCATCATTGCGCAGGGTGCTGCGGAATCCGTCGCACCTACGAACTAATGGGCTTAGTATACAGTCGCCTGGGTGGTAGACTATTGAAAACGTTGCTAAACACCTGATTATCTGGGTAGTCGGGGAAGAACTTGCTGTCATAGTGCGCAGACAATATGACACGACGAGAGGCGGCTGGGTCTTTCGTCGCGATAATGTTGGTGAATGAACGGGGGCCATAAGGAGTGTTGTCGGTAAATGTGTCCTCCTCGACGTGCCAATCCAAAACCTTCAAGGTGGACACGATATATTCACGAACGACGGTTATGTTTTCACTACCCACTGTTACACTTGTTTCAGTTAACTTGGGAAGTAGAATGGACACATACCAGCACGCGGTATGAGGATCTTAGAAAGATGAGAAGCGGGATTGTTGGTATCTACGTTTGCGACTGGGTCCGTTGCAGCCGCTAGAGCCAAAATTTGTTCGGAGGTCAACTGGGTGAAATCACGCTGGCCGAGCGTCGAGCCTTGTATCGAGAGTGTGCACCACGACACAAACGATATAAGCAAACATAGGAATGAAGACTGGCAATGTGGCCGAAGTTTCATTGATCGAGAAATGCGAGAACCGAATGGTTGAAACAGGAGAGGATAGACCAGCGTTAAACACGAACACACCGCAGTGCTGCCAGCGCTAGCCACTTTCTCTCCTTCGCGCCCACTAATGGCAATCTTCAGCCTATGGGTAGGTTTCCTTTCGTCAAGCAATTATCCAAACAACTGCTCAAGCAAGGTGTAAAAGGTCATTAACAAAGCTGGTGGCCTGGTCTACCAACGCAATTTCGCAGGTTATTCAGAACGAATTCGAGTTCTGCTTTGTTCATGACCGAGTCCTTCTTAGATGGCCTCGCTCAGCTCACATCAAACGAGTACTTAGTCCTCGCTGGCACTCTGCATGGTATCCACGCTATTACAAGCCGCCTATCCCCTGCTGGTTCGAGTTCAGGTGCACAGGTCATCGAAGGGGAGACATTTAAGATGACCATCTTGTTGACTGCGACAGGTACTTGGTCTTGACTCACGTCGCGGATAGCTCCCTTACATTGAAGTGTCACAGGAACGAAATTCGTCCTTCTTACATCCTTGGCAGATGCAACAGCGGATTCGGTTCTTCAGAGAGTGTACGAGGCCTACGCAGATGCTGTCATGAAGAACCCATTTCACACTCCGGAGATGCCAGTTCGCAGCGAGGGGTTTGACACACGCATTACGAGCCTTATTGGCACAGGACAAACATGACACTCAAGCCTCATATCGGTTAGTCCTGTGTTTTCGACACCAAGAATGTTGCGAGTCTGATGGTTTGGTGATAGCATAGGTTGTAGCACTATCGACTCGAGCCACTGATTTTGAGAATGCACAACCCCTCAAAACTTCATTGATGTATCCTGACATGTTCAAGTCGACCTTTCAAGATTATCGATAATGTTACAACTAGAATTTAGATGTCTGCGTTCACAATATTTGATGTTACGAGTCACGTGGTTATCTCGCATGCGATACAAATACGCGTCGCGTCTTGCTTCATCTTCTTCCGTCTCCCCTCATCCAAGCAAACACCAACAACTGCTCATTAAGGTTCTAAGACGCACTTTAACAACCATGCAGATGCAACGGACAATAGCGAATACGGAAACTCAGGTATTGATCTACGAGTTGCCATCAGCCTGTACTTGATTGTTCCTCAGACAATCAGCAACAAGCAGAGTCTGGAGTGTGTGCAGACGTTGCTCAAAGCTGGCCTGGGGTGTATAGCATACTTGAGGTGTGTTCACTATAATCCTCGGGTTCTTATCTCACCTGGCAATTCTCAGGGGTCTTCTACCAGCCGAGAACTTCGGTAAATGTGAGTATAATTCACGAACACAACAGATGAACACTAACAAAACCGAACGTAGATCAACTCTCGTCTCAAAAAAACGGAAGGGCCTCTTCTTCGTCTGGTTCCTTCTCTTCAGACGGAACTACTGGACTGAATATCAGTGGTGTCACGATCATGACCCTCAATCGAGGCTTTACTAACGAAGGGGATCGTATAATTGACTACCTGGTACGCATATATTCGTCCATTCTCTACGAAAGACACGCATATATCCACGTTTTTTCAGGAGAACGGTATATTTGAGGCCATAGACAAGCAATACCTTAGGAAAGTTATATTCGGCATTTACTTGGTGAGATCAGACGTACTCGGAGATTTTCTTGTCTGATGTTTTCTGTAGGACAGCAAGGATCCCAACAAGTCGGTCAATTTTAACCTTCAATAATTGTTATTTTCTCTTACAGGCTACTCGCGCAGCATTGTGGAGGCTTACACCTTCAATTTCCATGTAGGTTTCCAAGGCTTTCATACAGAGTACTAAATGGATGAGCGACGTACAGTACCACAAGCTGCCTGGCAGTAACACCGCCATACCGATCTTGACTCTTGGAGATCAATTGTCGAAGATGTCGCTTGCGCTCCCAGATCCTGTTTCTGAGGCCCTCAAGAAAGGGCAGATGCCTACTCTTGGGGAGGTCAAAAGGAGTGTTAAGGTGCACCAAACGTCACTCACCTAAAAGCACACCGTTCTCAAGCACTTTGTTTCAGGCGATGATCAAGTCGCTTGTAACTACTATCAATCAGATGGAAAACCTTCCAAGTGCGTGTCATTGCCCTTTCCTTTATCGAGTTCAATGACAACCTTCTCGTGCAGAAAATCGTTACGGAAATTTCAAGTTATTCTTCAACGAAGATGCCCCGGATGATTATCAGCCCCCTCATTTTCAAGCGGCAGATGCCGAAGCTAACAGATGGTTCTTTACCACCCATGCGGCAGGCGAAGTACCGGAACGAACGAGTATTGGCCAAGTAAACGCAGGATGGCATGGGTAAGCACCAAGAAATCTAGCGCATTAACCTGGATGCATTTTTATATTCAGCCTCGACATGAAAGTGGTTTCAGTATCGTCGTATCTTCCTTCTATAACAGAAGACAACAATGCGCCATTCGGGGGTATCACGTCGCACACAGCCCCTAGATTGACCCCAGTTGAAGAAGCGAGAATCAGAGTAGAGGACGCACAGTTGCAGAAGAAAGATGCGTTGGAACGCAACGTCGTCTGGAGTGTAGATGAAGACGAGGATGCCGAGGGTGAGATGGTAATTGACGAAGGCATTGTTTTGTCCAGGTTCGGTGGTGACGTACAAATGGCCCCCATCGGCATACGAAGCGAAGATGGAGGGGTTCAGCCATTCTCTCAAGTCAACGTTACTTCGTCGCACGCTCATGCCCAGTATGGTGGTATGTCGGAGTCGACCCCGATACGCGTCGGAGATTTGGTTTGTCACCCATCAGTTCCTCTTACCTCACTGATGCGTCGCATCAGAACATTAGAAAGGCCGCTCGTGACATCGAGGAAACGCAGCAGGTCCCAGCCACTCAGGAGATTGTCATGGGTTCACCAATACCCGCTCCTTCGACGCATAAGGTCCCCTCCTTGCCTGCTTCTGATGTCGCCTCATCCGCCTCGGTCATCTCCACTCAAGAGATTGATACTCAGTGCCTCCAAGATCTTCTCGGAATGAGGAATGGTGTGTCTACCGCGCCTGATTCAGAGATGTTGGGTATGACATCTATGCGTATTGTATTGCACAGAATGACCGACTTCCTACAGATATGGAGACACAGATACTGGAATCGTCTGGACCGCCGTGCAATCTAGCTATCACTCATGCGCAGGACCTTCCTCTTAACAGTCGGCCCAAGGGCTCTTTTGGGTTGAAAGATGAAGATCAACTTGACTGTGACTGCGGGATAGCGGTGCGTACGCGACAAACTCAAAAAAAGCACAAACCAATCCCCCTTTTGGAAGGTTGACGATGATGCTCTAATGTGCGAGGGTGGCTGCAACCGTTGGTTCCACGTCTGGTGCGCATTTTCGTTTCTCGTACAAATCAAGCCCTCTGACAAACGCCGGTCGGGTAGGTGCATGGGGTGCGCAAGATTCACTTCCCTGATACGTGCTATTTCATTTACCGCGACTTAGATATCACGGTGCACGAGACAAGCGTCTTCCTGCTCAATTTACTTGCTTTGATTGTCGTCTTCGCGGATCACTCGAGTGGGACATTATCGCGGGGAAGATGCATGCTGATATGATCGCTCGATACAAAGACTTATCACTCTTCAGGTACGCAGTAGCGTGTTCTTTGCATCATAATTACTTACCTGTTTTTTCAGGAGGGCTATCAAGATTTGTGAGGTGCATCAGCCCTCCTCGGCGTCATTATTCAGGGAGCACACTGGTCAGTTCATTCTCATACTGTCCCCCGCTGTTTTCATTTCATATATGATCGAAGGGTGTGACACCGCACTGGTTGGTCAGCTTCTGACGAGGCTAGAAGAGGAAGGTGGGTGCATGATTGGTATACGCCAGGTTTTTTCAATGCAAATGCCTTTCTAGGCTTTATTGCGGTTGAAAGCATTGTCTCTGATGAGTTAGGCATTGGCGTCACCCACTCCCACGCAAAAAAGGGCAAGAAAGGCGTGAAGACCAAAACCAAAAAGCAGAAGGAGCTCCAAAAAACCAAATATGTATTTCTCTCCAGGGCAAAACGTTCCAAAGCCTATGCAGATTACTTTAACCCACTTCCCGAAGTCGAGAACCGTCTCATGGGCCTGTCTGATAAGGTTAGAGATACAATTCAACTCAAGTTACGTTGCTAATGCAAGATGACACCACTAGGTGCGATGTAAATCTAAAGCAGGACAAACCTCAGTGGCGTAGGATCATCATTGTCTCATACGACCCCATTGATCATGTGCTGACGCCTACACACAGTTCGGCTGAAATTGCAGATTCCAACTTACATCCTGAGGTCACGGCGCGAGCGGGTTCCTCTGATGACGAATCCCAAACCCAAGAAACGACTCAGAATGTCCTCACTCTAGCGATAGCCGAAAAACGCAAAGCTGCAACAGATTTGGTGCATCGCGGGAAACGGGTCAAAATATCAATCGGCTCTGGCGTTGATCTTTGCGACTGAAACCTTCCATGAAGACGTTTTGCCGGATTGTGGTCAGTACTCGCTTAAAGGAAAAACTAATTACCAAAATTCTGTATGTCGATGTGCCGCTCTTTGTTGCTCTGAGCTAGTGTTGCTGTGTACTCCCTCTACTCGCTGGGAATTCTATGATCATTCGATCAAATTTGTCTGGGTTTATTGGTTCCCCGTGCGAGTTTCGCAAGTCGCTAACAGTAGCGCGACGTTATTTTGTGCCGCTTGCTTTCAGTGTCGAAAGAGAATCTGCCAGGTCAAATAATTTTCACGTTCGTGTGGATCGTCTCTCTGACATCCAAAATTTTCAGCGGTGCTTCCTCTCCCACAAAGTTAAGCTTCAAGGGTGCAAAGCAAGTACTTACGACTTCGTTTCGAGTTTAGATGCTGAGTCAGTCAGATTATAGTTTCAGGGTAGATATGCGGCAGCCTTGAAGTTCAGGCGGTGCCCCTGCTTCGATCTATTCGCGCATGCCACGGTGAACGGGTCGAAGGCATATGATCCTGCGCCTTCCTATCTCGTTCACGACACCCTAGTTTTGTGTTACGTTAAACTCACGGTTGCCGTATCTTGTGTTTCGGTGAGGTAACACCGTCTTGGGGAAACTTTGAATTCTCCTGCCCCCCCCATAAGTTAAGGCCTGACACAAATCGATTTGCTACACTAACTTTCCAGATCCACGACGAGTGCAATGAATCTAATACCTTGCCTTGGTATGCAACTCGCAAGCCTACCTAGATCATCGAAACCGTTTGACCGACGACCAATTTCAAATTTGGTGCGCGTCCAAATCAATAGAGCCTGCCCTAAACTTGATAAGTAATAAATAATACGAAAACGTCTTAGCAACCTCTTTTTCATCCCCTCACGATTTGGCAACTCGTCGTACTTTCTCCAACACAGTCGACGAACTGCATCGGGAGGCCCTCGCAGGAGATGAAGTAATGGTGCAAGGCATAGTTTACACCTCCGTATCTCCCTGCTGTCGAATGCCACGGCTGTGGGGCTCGTTAGCGTGGTGCACATTATAGTTATCGATATCTAGAACTCTATGCTTGCAAATGTGACACTCGTGGGCAATCATTGATTTGGTTCACAAGTCTGGTCTGGTCTTCAGTGCTGTGGCACAGAGCGCTCGGAGTTCGGCGTAGCTACATATGTATAGTAACAATCTGATTCTCAATCAGGGTGAGTGAATCGACGAAAGTTCAGGAATTTGCAGGAAACAGCTGCAGCCCGCATGCGGTACCGCGTGTTGATACCGTGGTTAGATTTCGACTGTTCTGAATTCTGACCCTTCATTTCATTGACGCGATTGCCCGCTTTGCTTTGCCTTAAGTAATCTCATACCTCGACTGTGAATCATCTCTTGTTCACCACCAATATTTGATCCTGCGCGGCTGCGAAGGAGCTCGTCCGATGCCTTACAAGCTATCAGCCACACTATCAGCTCATTCGTCAGATGTAGGTTCCTCAAATCATCCTCGCGAGGGGTTTCATCTGATCGTAGCTTTCGTAGGTTCGTGCAGTGGCTTCACCGACAGACAGTATAATCCTTTCAGCATCGCGAGATTCCACCGCGATCTCCTGGAATCGATCATCGCCAACTGTCCCCTTTACTCTTTCATCTGTTCTGCGAGCTGGGTCAAGATTCGTCAATGCTGTAGAATATATCTCCCCGTCGCCTGAAGCGCCGCAAGGTAGGCTCGCTAGTGGTTAACGCTGTCTCATGTAGCATTGACCCAAGGCAGGATACGCTGTGGTTGGAGGGCAAGATACAGTCGTCAATATTTTCGCCCTAGGTCCAGCGCAGAAAGAGGACCCTGAATATTCGCTGGTGGGACACACTGACAATGTCTGTGCTCTTAATGTTAGCCAATCTGGTACCATTATCTCTGGGTCATGGGACAAGTGAGAATCTTCCATTGTACAGCATGCGTACTATTCTAATATCGAATACAACAGAACCGCCAAAGTCTGGAAACAATTCCAGCTAGTGTATGATCTGAAGGGGCATCAGCAGGCAGTTTGGGGAGTCCTTGCCATTGATGACGATCAATTTTTGACCGGTGCGTGAGACCATTCACCATCTGGGAGGTCAGTCACGGATCCTACTTCATTCAGCTTCGGCGGATAGAACCATCAAATATTGGGTTCAACACAAGATGATGCGGACTTATGAAGGGCATAAGGATGCGGTTCGTGGCTTGACCCTAATACCTGACATAGGCTTTGCCTCATGTTCCAACGATAGGTAAGTCATTCTCGTTATTTTTGGATGAATTGGGGTGGTTGATTGGGACTAGTGAGATTAGGGTATGGACAATGCAGGGCGATGTAGTTTACACGCTATCTGGACACACCTCGTTTGTGTACAGTTTGTCCGTGCTTCCGAATGGAGAAATAGTATCGGGCGGCGAAGATCGCTCTGTGAGGGTGTGGCGAGGTGTGTCGTTAACTGTGCTAGCCCATAACATCCACTTACAAATATCAGACGGTGAATGTGTGCAAATGATCGTTCATCCGGCGATCTCTGTTTGGGCTGTATCTACGATGCCCAACGGGGACATTGTCAGTGGCTGTAGCGACGGTATTGTTCGAGTGTTCAGCGAATCGGAAGAGCGTTGGGCCAGCGCAGCGGAGCTGAAGGCGCTCGAAGATCAAATCGCAAGCCAGGCTCTTTCGTCGCAGCAAGTGGGCGATGTTAAGAAAACTGATCTTCCCGGTCCAGACGCATTGCTCCATCCAGGTTGGCAGTCACTACTCATACGGATTTCGTGGGATTAAATTGAAATTGCGTAGGTAAGAAACCTGGAGAAGTGAAAATGATTAAAAATGGCGACCTTGTTGAGGCGCACCAGGTGAGCACTTGTGACTTTGCGAGATAGTCATCTAAGCTAGAGTAGTGGGATAGTGCAACGTCAAACTGGCAGAAGATTGGCGACGTCGTGGACGCCGTCGGCTCCGGAAGGAAACAGCTTTTCAATGGCAAGGAGTATGACTACGTGTTTGATGTTGATGTGCAGGAAGGCGCACCTCCATTGAAACTCCCATTCAATGTGTCCGGTAAGTATTTTATACTCTCGTGCTGTGGGGATAAACTTGATATTTATCTTTATCGCAGAGAATCCATATGCAGCTGCTCAACGCTTTTTGGAACAAAATGATTTGTCGACGAACTACATTGACGAAGTTGTAAAGTTCATAGAAAAGAATACCTCGGGAGTCAATTTAGGCGTTAGCAATGATTATGTTGACCCGTACACTGGTAAGTATTGATGTTTAGTAGCACGGCATGTACTAGACTGCTATCAGGAGCATCAAGATATCAGGCTGCCGCTACCTCACCAGCCCCAGCCCCGTCCACGGCTTATATGGATCCTTTTACGGGTGCAGCTCGGTACAGTGGAGCTCCTGCTCCCACACCTCCAGTTCCTTCGGCGTCACCTTCAGCTCCGAAAATTATACCCTTTGTAAGACTTTTTTTAGTAATCGATAGTTGAACTCGACGCTAATTTATGCAGGCCAAGTTTGTCTCTTTCAAACAAGCTAATGTATCGGCAATGCAAGCAAAGTTGTACCAATTTGACGAAGCACTACGAAACGAAATTGTACGCACGCGATTGAGCTGCATTGAGCAATCTGCTGAACTCAGACATGCCAGTCCACCGCATCCCTTGCAATGTACCCTGAAGAGTTGGTGATCATCGAAGAAGCCTTCGCTTATCTTTCCCAAGTCACTTCGACAACTTCTAAAAGCTCTCTTCCACCCCTTGGTGGTATACACGCAGACGCTATCATACAGATTCTGGAGCGATGGCCGGCGTCTCAGAGATTCCCAAGTATGCATTCCATCATGCCGATTGCATTATCTTACTAACTACTTTAAGTGATGGACCTTAGCAGATTGGTAGCTGCATATTGCGCCGATGCTTCTGCGTCCCCCGGTGCACGAGAACGATTTTTCGCGTCTTTATTCAAGGCATCTGATTGGACTGAAGTCCGATCACATGGGAAGGCCATGTCAAAGGCTCAAGAAACGAATATTCTGTTACTATTTCGCACGGTAGCTAATTGTTTCCAAGAGGGAACTCCTGTGGACGAGGGGCAGTGGGTTGCGCAGGTGGGTGACGGCATCTTTCGGCCACAAGGGTGGCTCTCACAGGAAGCAGGTTTTCGAAGCACTAAGTCATACGCCTTACGCGCTTCTGACCAAGGTGCAGCGCGTGGCTTTGGCGACCATCCTCTTCAAGTATGACTTCACCGTACCGCATCAGGGAAAAGAACTAAATGTTGAAATAGTTTCTCTTGTGCCTACCTGACGACGTCCGTCGCTAGAGATGTGCTGAACCAACACACTGGACTAGTCCTTCAGGTATTTATCAGAAGCATGTTCTCGTCCAATGTCCATCAGCTAATCAACCACCTAGCTGCTACGTTCAAATACAGATGATGCAGAGGTCACCTACCGCACCCTGGTCGCTTTGGGGAATGTGGTAAGTGTCCTTCCATTCTGCATCAAGACTGCTCGCTCATCAATGAAGGTGTATGCTGGGAACAAGCGCGGCACTTTGCTAGATTCTGCACGGTCTGCAGAGTTGCGAACAGTGATGTCAGCTCTCCCGACGTTCCCTGATGATAGAATTAGGAATGTGGTTGACGAGATCAAGGCACTGCTATGATGCATTTGTTTTCGTGGGGCGTTCTTGACGGATTAATTATCTGGAAATACACCTCCTTGCGTGGCTCAGGGGTCTAGACATTGCGGTATGAAATGGATAACTGGTTACTTTTTGGGATTGTGGGGTTTTATGAAGTAAATACGCGATGTGCAGTTCGTTGTACAAAGGCAGTCGACTAATCAGCATGTTTACTGTAAAGCGACTGATGAATTGCTCATGACTGATGCACATCTCAGACGGATGTCACGACCATCTCCGTGGATCAAACGCGTTTGACGGAGGCGATGAAAGTGATTACGCAGGATGCTCATAGAGTGATGCAGGTCGCACAACCGACTGCACTGCCAAATGTGCGATCATCCTTGAATTAATATTCTGTTGCGTCAAGCTGCTTACTCAAAAAAGTTAAAATTAGCACCTCGCACTGATCCCGAGTCCGACGTTGACCTCTTACTGTACTTCCAGGACTGGGCCAGGACGGTAAGCAAGTCCGCTAAGCTTTCGCATACGAAGCGTGATTACGAGCATGGCTTCCAACATTAACGAGCCTGCCATGAAAATGCCTCGTCAAGTGTCTCGCGACGCGTTCTCCACATCATGGATCCAGTCTCGGTATGTTCTAATGTCATGAACATCTCAATTCATGTGAACATACCGTGAGGCGCGGCACCACTTCGTCAGCCTCCGCAGTAACTCTTAGGAGGCCTCCCCTGGTCTCCCAGGTATCCCCCAGGTACCATCTCACATCGACTCTGATCACAGCCACCACCTATGCGACAGTACAGGAGGTAGAGTATAAAACCTGGTATGTTCATCGACAAGAGCAGTCTAAAACTACAAACCAACCAACCCTCTTACCAGAACAACATGTCTGAACAACTCTTCAAGTCTTTTGCTATCATCGGCGCGGGCCCCAACACCGGCATCCATATCGTAAAGGTAACCTTAATCATAATATTCTTACAGTTGTCGTCCTTAACATTAATCCCTATCAGGCCTTCCTTGCTATTGGCAAACCACTTCTCGTCATCGCCCGCCCAACCTCCTCGAACGTCGCTGCCCTCCCCACCGACGATCCTAACCTAAAGCTTGTGCGCGCAAACTACACATCTGCATCTGAGATATCCACAGTGCTCCGCGAGCGCAAAGTAGACGTCCTCATCTCGACCGTCACACTCGTTTTCGGAGGTGTAGTCAGCCAGAACATTCTCGCCGACGCTGCCAAGGAAGCAGGCGTGAAGCTCTTGGTCCCCAGCGAATTCGGTATCAAACCGCAATTGGCCAAAGGTGGTTTAGCTTTCCAAAAGACTGACTTTGCAGGCAAGTGATAATGGTAGCGCGTCGTAGCTTCGACTTACCCCTCCGTTCACAGCTTATGCAAAATCAATCGGACTCCCAACTCTCCGCGTCTTCGTGAGTAGCCATTTTTCCGATATCGCCCCAAATAAGCACTAAACACGATACACCGATCACAGAATGGATTGTTCTACGAATTCGTACCCTGGCTCACCGCGCTCGCTGACACCGGCAAGTTCCACATCGTGAACAAGGGAGAAACGAAAGGGTCCTTCACTGCAGTATCAGACGTCGCAGGATACGTCGCTCACATCCTTACTACTCAACCTCCATCTCGTCTACTTGACGCCGAAATCCAAATAGAGGGACAACGCGCAACGCTCTCAGAGATCGGTGCATTGTATAAAGCCAGTGCACCTGTGGTATATTGCGATGCCCTTCCTACGGAAGGTGTGGTCAACGCGCACTTTAGGACGTTCTTCCAGAAGCATATTGGGGTCGGGGGAGGAAGTTGTGGGTGGAACCCTGTGACGGAGTCGGACGACCCGGAATCGGCTAGCAGGGACAATTCCTTGTGGGAAGGGCACCACTGGTTGACTGTTGGGGAGGCTCTTGGACTTTGATTGGATCCACGTAGAATTTCTGGACTCTTACCATGGGACTCCGTAGCTTACTCACAGCATTTATGTTTTCCTACCAGCAGTTAATTTATCACTAGATCATGCACGAATGAAGATAGGACTTTACAATTTTATTTGTTCTGCTTCATTTACCAGGGTCCAGTACTTCATGTACCGCAGAACGTTTGCAAAGCCCGAATTGCATTTTTCGGTCAAAAGGGTGGCTCTCGTAGGAAGCAGGTTCACGAAGAGTCGTACACCTTGCGCGCTTCTCACTAAGGTGCAGCACGTGGCTTTGACGACTATCCTTTTCAAGTATGACTTCACTGCACCTAGTTTGAAACTTTCTCTTGAGATCAAAATGATCGGACCTAATAATAGCTCTAAGTTGTCAGTCGATTCTTCACAAGCTCCATGACTATCCTTGCTCGAATGTTTGTCGTGAGACACGGCGAGACAAACTCGAATCGCGACAGAATCGTCCAGGGTCAGCTGGATACACAGCTCAATGAGACTGGCCTTGCACAAGCTGCGACGACGGCAGAGGCGCTCAGATCTGTTCCCTTTGACAAAGCTTTCACGAGTGATCTCCAGCGAGCTTCTAAGGTGAGATCAAACGTTTAAAACTATGTAGTAATCGCAGTGCTCGGTTTGATAACACTCGACAACTCGTTGTAGACTGCGGAGAGGATTCTCCAGTACCACCCTGGCGTCGAGTTAGTCCAAGATAGCTCGCTGCGAGAAAGGGTGAGTGTCAAATTTGAATTCGAACTGTGGACTCGGAAAAGTTGATCATGTGTTGGACAGTTTATGGGTGAGTTGCAAGGCAAGAAGGCACCAGTCAACATGAAAGGGTTATCCTCGATAGAGACAGACGAAGCTCTCGTTCAGCGTTGTATCGCTTGGTATAATCGGATGATAACACCATACATCTCCTCCATCACCAAACATGACGTTTCCGAGTTAGAGGGCCGATGTCGCAACATACTTGTTCTATCGCATGGGGCGTTTATAGCTACGCTCTTTCACATCATGATCTCCAGCAATTACATTACGTGTCCCGTAGAGTTGAAGCTTAGAGGTCTTCCTACGTTGGGCAATACCAGTATATCCGTAGTAGAATACAGGACGGCTCAGAGAGGGAAGCATAGGGAGGTGGACGTTGATATATTAAAGTACGGGGATATTTCCCACTTGCGTGGACTGCGCGTCATGGAAGAAAATGCCGATGTAGAAGCCGATCAATCATAGTCTCGGCCAATTGAATATTCATTCATTTGCGACCACCGCACGGATCGTCATCTACGGAGTGGAGAAGAAACGATGAAAGGAATAAGGAAGACCCCACTGTTGAGAAGAACTTGTTAGATTGATCAGCAACAGAACGAACGGAAATTTGATTCACACAAGGTCCCACATACCTAGTAATTCCACCTAATGTCTTTCTTCCAGGCTTTTTCTCTTTCTCGCCTTAATTTTTCAACGTATATGAATGTAACAATTATGGTGTCCAGAAGCTCAGGGCTGATGATATCTTCCAAGGTAGATTCAAGCTCGTGATCAGTATAGTTATCGGTGTCGGTGTGTTCGTCACTATGGCCCTGGTTGGGCTTTGGCAGATTGATATCAAGAAAACCGCATCGGGGGCGTTTCCCAGAGAGGAGACCCAAACTGTACCGGTGATATTGGGCAACGGGCTTATCGGGATCGCTTTCACGATAGAGCTATTAGCAATACAGTGTCAGAGAATCTGCACGAAGCGAACAGCAGAGAGACGCAGAACCTTGCACACCCTCATCCCAAGATGCCAACGATACACGCGGTCATCAGGTCCAGTAAAGGTACGCGATCTGAAAGCTGTCACATCCACCTCAGACCAAAAAATGTAAGAGGAGACTAACCTGCGCGAAATGCCACGTGATGGAATGAACTCTTTCGTGGAAACTTCCCCTTGACCTAGTCTATTGAGCCCGAACCATCGAATGCGTGATGTTTGAAACTTGTGGAATTCGATCTGCGCGAGCTGTTCGAAACGATCTTGCATGTCCAAGATGATCTCTTCCTCCTCTTCCTCCTCGTCGGACTGCGTTACATGGATATCTTCGGCCATGGTTGGAACACCAGGGTCATTGGGATCTTCAGGATCTTCCCCATCAGATTCCAACTCGATGTTCAATTCGTCAGTTCTCTTCTTGGAGTACAGAGGCGGGGTGTTTGGTATAATCTTCCAGATTGTGCTAGTCCCCTTCATGAAGAATGGGCGGAATGGCGTGATGACTTTGTAGATAACTTGTCCCTGTTCATTAGTAATGGTGCTGTTGCGAACGTGATCGGTAGAGAAACATAACCGCATGATAGAGGTGGGGTTCAATTTAAGTCGTTGAGGAGTAGCGCTACCGTGTACAGTTTAGTACTTGGCTTTTATCTGGATCCTAGGGTGCTCACCATGACTCGCTGCGGAGATCAAACTCTATTGTCAAAATTGTGCACATCGCACAGCCAGTACAGCAGGTGACTGATACAAATGCGATCAGATGCAAAGAGGATTACCCAATACTATATATGCCTCAAGCCATGTGGGTACACTGGCAGGACGAGGTCTCGAATAAGACTTCATATTGAGTTCAATGCTCGTCGGGCCATCAGTCCAGCAGACTAACCATTGGTCAGTACATATTTGACCATGTAAGAATCACAGCCAGATCGATAGACGGACGTCGTAGTATAATTGAGAATAACGCTGGATGACAAGTTCAGCGCCCCTGTTGAATTATTCCTGAGGAGCCTTCCCCCAGCGCAATAGAAAAGAAAAAGTCCAAAGCACTGATCAGTGATATCAATGAGGGCATAACGTTATGTTTTATCTTCCTAGACGATAAAATCCAGATTCCATATTGTACGTGGCTAACACGATGGCAAATGTGCAAGTGGACCTGTTGCGACACAGTCTAAGGGCTTCAGGGTCTTGTCATTCTTGTGGGGAACCATGGCAAGCTGATACACATGTTGATTTCCCACTGGCACTTCCATTGGATACAGCAAACAAGTTCGAAGAGCGTCCAGTGGCAGAATAGTATTATGTGGAGGGAGAGGTCGCTTAAGACGTGTGCCAACCGTCCGAGACGTCCCCAACAGCTCGCTTACGTGGACTACCTAATTTGGTCTTAAATGTCACATGGTTGAAAAACTAACTTAAGAAGTGTGAAATTTAAGACATGTGTACCGAATGCACGCCTTCAACTTCCTACAGCCACCGTGATCTCGGGCAAAACACGACTGGCCATGGAAATCTATCCAACTTTCGTAAAGCTATGGGATGCTCATCAGCCATTCGGGTAGGAGGGGCGCGAACACCTTACTCTCTCCTATCTATCGTCTTGCCTTGATACTCCCGCATCCTTCAAGTTGCCGTCATCACCTCACCTCACTGTCGAGGCTCGGCTTGTGTCCCATCATGATACGTTTCGTTCTGACTTGATCCGCATTTTTTGCACAATTGTTTGGACGTTCAAGGAGGCTGGTAAGTGAAGATATGAACAACGGTAGCGTCGCCTTAAAGAATATAAATCTATAAATCTAAATAATTATTACAGGGACCAGTGGAGTGAATGTGGTCTACATCAAGGACTTTACGAAAGTACGCGTGCCTATTCCGTAGTCTACCTTGACCAACAGTTCATCCCGTTTACCTATCAGGTCATTCACATCGCTTATTCCGCACAAACCCATCGTAATGTGCAAATCACAGATGGTTTGCATTAAAATTTGCTCTACCCCCGCTTGGCCGGCTATCGCTAGTCCATAAACAATCGGTCGGGCAACTCAACAAAAACCATGAGATGACAACAAAAAGGACAAAGGATGACACACTTAAAACACCCTGTGCTCCCATTGCAAGCGCCTTAATCACATCACTGCCTGTTCGAATTCCGGAATCAAATAGGACAGTTAATTTGCCCGATTTTTGCGCGTCAAGAACTTTCTGTGAGCGCATGATCATGTCGAGCGCATCCAATGAGGCTATTGCGCCATCTATTTGACGACCCCCTATATATGCCAATTCAGCATTATGGTAAACAAACACTAAAACGAGCAAATATATCGACAGCGGCACGTACCGTGATTAGAGACGACAATCCCGTCGATCCCCATATCGATCGCCTTCTCTGCGTCCTGGTGAGATTTTGTGTCAGCGATAGATGGCAACGACTTCAGGTGAGCGCACGTTGACGGCTTGTATTCCCTTGAGCAAGATGGGACCATCCCAGTTGTCCTTGACGAATTGAAGGTCGTCCCATGTTCTGAAAATCCCAGACCCCGTCTCGGCAAGCCACTGGCTTGCTAGGAACATCGATTGTTTCGTTTCCTCGTCACCTGCCGCTGCTTTCCTCCTGATTTCTTCCTGATCAAATGGAAACTTTGGATGATCATGGCGAGCGACGAGTCCATGGCGCTTCATAAATACTGGATCCGCCATACCCTGTTGAACGCCGAAGCCATGTCCCGCAGGACTGTATCCGATGCGATGGTCATGCGATCGCCATCCGATAATCATCGTGTCAACCGTGATAACAAGAGCAGTATACCCATTTTCCTTCGCGCGTTTGATGACGGACAATGCCACATCGGTAGATCGAGGCCTGTAACTGTCAGATTTCGCTCTATGACACGAGACTGCACTCACCAATAAAATTGATACCACCGTTGGCCATTCGGCCCGTTTGCTTCTGCTACATCCTCAAGGGACCGCGACGAAGAAGAACTCAGAATCATCGGTACACCGACTGCCGCAGCTGCACGAGCTGTTGCAAGCTCTCCATCAACATGTACCAGACCTTGTTTGCCGACTGGTCCTACGAATACTGGTGAAGAGACCTTCATACCCAAAATTGTCGTCTGACGGAGGGCATTAGGTAGCCCTTGGCGACGCTCATTTACAAGGTGCTCACCTCAATATTGCGCAATGTCACGTTGTTTAGCATGCGCGGGACGAGCTTCCACCTGTCAAATGCCTTCCTATTGGCATCATCGGTCGAACTGGTACCTGCACTCTTCTGTGCATACTGGTACGCAACTGTCAAAACCCGTTCAAGTTCCGCTCCACCATCTGAGCACTGCGACGTACTAGAATTGTCTTTCATGACCTCGCGGGCTTTATCCTCGATTTCCTGGACATCGACCGTACCGAGCACTGGCCCCTTGCCCGAGCTATAAATCTGCGACAACCAAGATATCCATTTGTTAGGTGGTGGTGGTTGAGTTGCCATTGATATCGTTAGTTTGTAATTGTGAGTTCAACTAGCTGCTGATAAATGTTACTGCTGGACAATTCATTCTCTTTTCTCTTACGTAGGGCTACATATATTCGAGTCCAGTTGCGTGGCAGGGACGAATACCGAGGAGGCACGGAGTTTGAATTTCCGACTCGGGCGGTCGTCTCGGAGGCTCGACATCCAGCGCATAGTTCATCAGAGCCCGCTAAGTTTAGGCCCAGTTAGGTTGGTTGGTAGGCTAGGTTGGCTGGAATGATGTTTTCTTTTTTGTTAGGTTTGCCACTCAAGAGTGGGTGTCGGAGTTTGAAATGATTTATTTCTCAGAGGTATGTTCGGTGTCTGGCACATGTCATTTCCGAAGTTAAAACCCCCAAAAGTTCAGCGGCCCAGCCCCAACAGGCCTCTGGCGTGGCTCATCATGTATCACGATTCATAGAAGTGTGTGAAATCAAGGTTTTAGACATGCTCATTGGGTTGTGACAGCCAAAATTTTGATAGATCGTCATAACCTGAGTCTGGTCCTGCGAGTCTGCCAGGTCTTTTGCAACTTATCTGAGCAATGCAGTAATCACCCGAGCTCGGGGCAACGATGCCCATGCCCAGCGAGACACCCCTCGCAGATTCGAGACGCCAAAGTATCGCGGCAAGCAGTAAAAATGATTACGCCATGCAACAGGACTCATACTTCATTTTCACATGTGGAGACGCGAGAACATCTTCGCCAGACCCGGCTTCCTGGTAGCTCAAGAAGTTGCTGCCGATAAATGCAGGCCATTTGTCCAGCAGATTGCCAGCAAAAGAGGTTACCGTTTGACTTTGTCGCCTCGCAACATTTGCGTTTGGGGCGACTGTGACCAGGCGTGACCCAATTCGTGACAATCCGCGACTTACGCCGGTCATCCTTCGACGCCTGGGGCAATGATAAGCTTGTCATGCACCCAAATGACCATTCAACACGTCCTTATAGACTTGATAAGCTCGTTTGCATCCTGAAACATCTGTTTGCCAGGTGTCCATCCAAGATCCAACATCCTCCCGGCTCTGCACGAGGGCATATGGATTCTCATGCATCGTGGCGCCTAAGCACTTGCGCGACGCACTGAAAGGTACGCCGCAACTATGACTGGAGTGCACATACGCCCACATTGATAGGTAACGGAGCTGCGACTTCTGCCTCTGCAGATTCAATCTACCGGTATCATGATATATCACGCATTCGTGATTTGCAGCTAAATTCATGCAACAGCTATTGACATAATGATGATACGCATTGCGCCATATTACTGATATATCTCTCCCCACATATCCGTAGTATGTTATCACCCATGACTCTCAGGCCGCTATCTTGGACAAGTGGACTTTCTGCCCCACAAGGAGAACGTCCACGCAGATGGGCAACGGCCCGACTTGAGAGCATACCCATATATTGCTGGTCCCAAGGTTGATCAATTGGATGAATTGGGGTGTAAGTGATTCGTATTTTTTTTTCCTCTGCTAACATCTCACTCGACCCGTTCAAATCCCTTGGCGAAGAAAATGAAAATTCATTGTGAACTCCAGCAAATAAACGGAACACTTGCAGTGTGATCAGCCTATCAAAGAACTCGTTCACGCTCATAACATCTTGCCGCTGAGTGCTAGGATCTACGGGCCTGTACCATATTCTGACGCCTTAGGTTGTTCAAGTTGGTAGAACATGAATTTCAAGTTGTTTTTGATGCACACGTGGTACGAGGTCGGCAACAGTATACGGGACATCGTTGCTTCACAACTCATGAATAGAATTATCAAAATCCGCTCGTTGTGCGTCATCCCGGAACAATAAGGCGCATCAGAATGGAGCTAAAGTATGACAGAATACAAAGGATTAAGGTACACTCATCCCTGATCTGCGTATCGTCGCATACGGTAGAGCTAGTGTGCACGGTTTATGCCTGGTGTCGATTATGCACTGCGCAGCAGGTGGGATTCCCCGCTAGGAGAACTGAGGGATCGCCGAAAACACAAGTCGGTGAGATGGAGCGAATATCACCGAGAGCATGAAACATCAAGTGGGTAGGAATTGTAGCGAGAATATGATATCAAGACTTGGCTGGAGGTTCAGTGGGCGGAACACCCAAATCAGGGAAGTCGTTGGGTCTTGCAATCCTTTTGGGTTCCCAGTCTTGATCTCCAGCAGCGCTTAGTTTCTGACACGTTCTCAGCAGTAAGACCTTGAGAAAGTTGGTCCATGAGAACTCACATAGTATTCCTCCCTAATATCAAACTTTTTCTTGTTGCGATCGAGGCCTAGAGCTTGCTCATTGCTGATCTATGAGATATTGAGTACGTGACGAGGTTCTGCTTGAGAAAGTCAAACCTGCTTGACTTTCTGGTCCTGTAGGTCATATCGGGTTTGCGTGAAAGTCTGAAGTCCGAACGATGCACCAACTATAATGAGAAGAAACGGGACACCGAACAAGGCAGGATGTCGCTTCAACCTTGACTGAAGCGGTGACGGATTAATAGGGTTTGAGGAAAACGGCATATGTTGTTCAGGCTGATTGTAGCAACTACAAAGTTGATTACTGCTGGCGTTAGTAACGAACCTTGTGTCGGACAACGAAACCGAACCCAGCTATAGTCAGACTGCCTTTTTCGAATGATTCAGATGCTTACTTATCCGAAGATGCCCGATGATCATCTCGCAATCTCATTCCTTTTCCACATCGCAGCTTCTGCTAAGCTGAATACGTATCGCAGGAGCTCCTTTGTCCATGAGCGGTATGACAGTCTTTTCAGTGTTGCCGATCTTTGATTTCCGACGCTTTTCTCAGTCACCGTCGTTCTTGGTTCACAATGGGGAGATGAAGGCAAAGGCAAGCTGGTCGACATCCTATCGGCTGACTTCGACATTTGCGCGCGATGCGCGGGTGGTAATAATGCCGGACATACCATCGTTGTGCCTGTTGGACCTGAAAAGGTGAAGACAACCTTCGCCTTCCATCTTCTCCCAAGCGGTTCGTGATCAGTTCTCATGGTACATTTGTATTGTATTGATCTATTAATTCGGCAGGCCTTGTTAACCCAACATGTGTGGGCCTGATTGGTTCTGGAGTTGTTGTCCATGTACCTTCTTTTTTTAATGAGCTCGACGCCCTGGAACAGCAAGGTGGGGTTTATCGTGGTCGAATATGCTTTAGCGATGACATGGTTACATAGGCCTGAACTGCTCGAATAGAATATTCCTGTCAGATAGAGCTCATCTTGTGTTTGACTTCCACCAGATCGTAGATGGTTTGAAGGAAGTGGAGCTTGGTGGTTCCAGGTACGAAACTTCATTTGATTCTTCACAACAATTCTTATCATTAACAAACCTGCAGCATCGGAACCACGAAGAAAGGGATAGGCCCGGCTTACTCCGGGAAAGCTTCTCGTTCGGGTCTCCGAGTGCATCACCTTTTTGATCACGATACCTTTGCGCAAAAGTTTCGCAAGATCGTGGAGGGTCGCTTCAAGCGCTATGGCCATTTCGAATATGACACAGAGGGCGAGATTGAGCGCTATAAGGTCGTGTCTATTATCCTTTTCACGTTGAACACCATCGCTGATCATGACGTAGGTCCTTGCACAGCGCCTGAAGCCTTTCGTTGTCGATAGCGTAGAATATATTCATAGTGCGCTGGCGGCGCGCAAGAAGGTCCTTGTCGAAGGTGCAAATGCGCTCATGCTTGACCTGGATTTCGGGACGTACCCATACGTTACCTCATCGTCCACCACAATTGGTGGTGTATGCACTGGTCTTGGCATACCTCCTAAAGCGATCGGGCACACCATTGGAGTTATCAAAGCATATACCACTCGTGTTGGAGGAGGTCCATTTCCAACTGAGCAGCTTAACGTTGGCCTTCTTATAACAATATATATACATGTATTAACGTATTTTCAGCCCATCGGCGTCCACTTCCAAGAAATTGGAAAGGAGTATGGCACCACCACAGGTCGAAGGAGACGTTGCGGCTGGCTGGATCTCGTCGTCATGAAACATTCATGCCTCATAAATGGATACGATTCGCTCAACCTGACGAAGCTGGACGTCTTGGACGAAATCGAGGACATCAAAATTGGAGTCAAGTACATGATCGGCGACAAAGAACTCCGATATTTCCCAGGTAAGTTAATCACTGGACAAAGCGAAGTGTTATTCACTATCCAATCAGCCGATCTTGATGTTCTGGCCGAAGTCACAGTGGTTTACGTGACGCTTCCTGGATGGAAGACGCCAATAAGCTCGATAACATCGTTTGACGACCTCCCAGACAACTGCAAGAGTTACGTAGGATTTATCGAGAATTTCTTGGGTACACCTATAGAGTGGATAGGTGTTGGGCCAGGACGTGAAAGCATGCTGAAGAAGACGGGCACGATATTAACGTCGAATTAGCATGTCATACTACAAGTTCGAATGAAGGATGGACCATTTTTAGCAACATATTCTCACGCACAGTACTAGGGTGTTGCGTGTTTTGGGTTTCTTCCTTCGTCACTCTCTGTCACGACGACGGTCACCCTCGCTGAAGACGCCGTAACAAGCGTCACAACCAAGGCTCAGTCACATCCGGACAATGCATGCAATGGACCCAGGGGCTCATCATAATCCATCACAGAGCACCCTGACACCAGTTTCGTCTTCCCGTAGACGTTCGCGAGAAAATGAGACGCCCCAACAAAGGCAAAAACGAGAGAAGGCTGCAGAGCGGCAGCGCAGAAAACGCGAGCGCGATCGTACTGTCAATAACATCAATGCAATAATGGCTTTCACACAACCTACGGATGCCCAAGCCCTTCCCCAGCCACAGCCATCTCAACCACCTACTCCGACTTTTACCGGTCAAGAAATGTCGCCCGAGGAGCTTTCTAGGCGCGAAAGAGTCAGGGCTGCCGCTCGGGAACGGCAGCGCAAACACCGGAGTCTAGTTAAGCAGCGGAAGATGCGGGAATTGGGATTGGATATGCCCAATGACATGATTCAGGGGATGGAGGAGTACAGAGTAAACGGAGACGGCCAGTATCAGCTTGCCCATGAGATGCCGCACCAACCGCATGGAATGAACCCGCAAGACGGAGCCTTCCCTCAAGCCCCACCGCCACAACTTACTGGGGGACAAAATTTTGCTTCGACGCTACTCCTCTCTTTCTCCTGCGCCCCCCTTCTCAAACAACATTTGCTCAGGACTTTAGCAATCACGAGCGAAGAACTCGCTTCTTTGGAACCAATCATAGCCGAAGCCTTTGATCAATGGGATCATCAAGTATGAGCCACCGTATCTCATGGTCGCCGAAATAACTCACTTATTATTAGCGTCGCATGCACTATGCCCAACAAGCTGCAGTCAAAGCTGCAGACGGCTCTATTCCTGGACCATCGGGTGGTCCGTTTCCAAACGTTGACATGGCCGACCCTTCTGGCAACGGGTTCGGGGAACCTCCTCAGCCACACCCCAGCGAGTTTCGTGCTCGATTCCATCGCCCCTTAGTGGCACCATCCCCTTTCCGCACTTTTAATCCCGATACCTCTACAACTGCTACGACTTCGACGCCGACTTCAACTACGACGTCTGGGCCTTCAGACCCAATAGATCCACATCTCAACGCCGTGGTGACGCCTGCTGACACCAGACAAAAGAGTGTGTCAGCTTTGGATCCAGACTTTGGACAAGCCAAAGGCGAGGCCGAGGGGGGTAGCGGGGAGGTTGGAGAGGTTGGAGAGGTCGTGACTTCTTTTATATTAGGAGCTTCTGGTTGTGATTACATGCACATCACGTAGCACATGTAGCCTTTTATCGCATTTTCCTATCCCAAATTTATACTAGCATCGCACCCTAACTGTAGGTCTGTGTACTGGCTTCCCTGAGCTGTAGTATCTTGTCTCGGTGCCTACCGATATTATGCGTGTCTCAATAATTCGGGAGTGCGCTTATTTAGATGTTTGAGCAGTTTTCCCATTGTGTACTTGCTGAGCTGTATCGATATCGTGAAAGCAACATTAATGATTGACATGGTGTTGGATTAGATTGTAGAGAGTTTACCTTGTGAATACGAAATGCCAAATACATACGAATTACCGACTGAGGCAGGTCGGTGGGCCACTGAAACTTGCATACATGTGTTTGCGAAGGACGATGTTACGAGTCCAAGTCGTATCACATATGAAACTTTGAAGTAAGAAGGAGCTTAATAGTGACGATACATACCATGCGAGCCTCGAGGGTGCTACTCTTGCGCCTTACCTACTAGGACATACGAGTCGATTTGTCCAAACACATGATTGATGTCCTTGAGCTTCAGCGCTGTCGATACTCGTGAAGCTTTAGAGCAATGATACATCAGCGTTTCAGCACCGCAGCCCTCTACATACCGGAGTGACCCTGTCTGTCCGGTCACGACAATTAATGATGATTGATTCACTGGAGACAACGTGAAGCTCACAGTGGATTGCTACCCTTCAAGTTAATACCCTTTGCTCTACAGCAGCAACCTGCGGCCACTAGTACTCACCAGTGACTAGTGAGTCCTAGTGAACGGTCATTAACACCTGGACCTGCACAGTAATACCCCTGCATTCGCCAAAGTAGGAAGTCGTGTTGATTCAGTTGAAGCTCCGATTAAAAAAGGCAGGCCGAATTCGAGCGGCGGCTACGAAATACGCAGAAAGCAATCCGTACAGTTCTAGCTTTTGACGACGACCATGGCACTGAGTTTTATAGGGTATGTGGATTTCTACTCATTTCGCCATCATCGCTGATCAGTACTGTCCAGAAAACCAATTTCTCTCATATCCCATTCTGATGTACGGTATCGAGGAATACTGGCGGGCATTGACCCCGCTGCCTCCACGATCCAACTCTCAAATGGTGAGTTTCATTTTATGCAGTTAGTCAGTTGGTCTTAACTGGCTGTTAGTGTTCTCCATGGGTACAGAATCGAGAAGGTGAGCCATTGTCCTGGCTGTGGCGTTGCTAGTCTCTGCCTCGCCTTCTCCTGCACGACGCGTAATCTAACATCAAACTCGCGTCAGGCCACCTTCAGAATTCATTCCTCCCGTCCAAGAACCATACCAATACATAATTTTCCGCGCGTCTGAGGTCAAAGATCTCGCAGTCGATGAACCAACTCCCCTTCGTAGTGTTCATGATGATCCCGCGGTGCTTGGGGTGAGTAACGTTCCCTACTTCAGTAGACCATGGGAATTTAGTATCATAGGCGTCTGCTCCCGGAACTCAACCCCCGTACGGTGCATACGGTCCTCAGTACCAGCAGCCTGGCGTGGCCCAACCGCAACCGCCACAAGCTCAGGCTCCCGTTTATCCTCAGCCTGTGCCTGCGCAAGATGCGCCAGCTCCCCCGATGATCCCTGTTGTGCAAACGAATGACGCACCAGGTCCTAGCACTGGCCCGAGCCGTGTCAATTCGGTGCACACCGCTGCCGCTTCAATGGAGACAGTTCAACGTGCTTTAGGAGACTTGCGTGGATCCGGCAATACTGCGCCCCCACACGGAGGTCGTGGTGGCCGACGTGGTCATCACGGCCATGGTGGAGAGACAAAAGATATCAAGGTGCCTGCGACGGATTTCGATTTCCAGAGCTCGAACGCTCGGTTCGACAAGACGGCAGTTGCACCAAAGAAGAAGGATGGCGATGATGAGAATGGCACTCCCTCCGACCGTGACTCGCCAACAGACAAACAAGATGAGAAGGACGATCCGGCCTATAACCCAACAAAATCATTTTTCGATTCTCTATCGTCTTCAACACAGGCTGGTTCGCCACCAACACGAGGCACCGGTGGACGGCGAGGTGGTGGAGGCAGAAATCGTCGGGAGGAAGAGAGAGAACGCAACGTTGCTACATTTGGTGAACCTGGGGGTGTGGGATTGATGGGCCCAGGTGCTTATGTCGGAGGTTGGGGTGGATATGGACGACGAGGGGGACGTCCAAGGGGGCGTGGTGCGCCTCCCGTTGGTGGCCGTTAGGTACTCTTAATTCTTACTTGCATCAGTCGTCTGTTCATCTTTGCTATTTCAGGCTAATTACTTGTCGCCCAGTAGTATGGCCAATCGTGTTGGCAGCTATGTACCCTCTAAAGAGATTCGCACTTTTCACTGACACGTAGTGCGGCACACATCCCGTTGCAGAATGGGAGCTTTATTTTCTTGTCCTAAATTCAACTTGCTGTCGAATGAACGTACCAGTCAACTCGAAAGTACGATGGGGCCCCAGTGTCAACGATGTGGGGCCTTGCACGCGACAGGTTGCCTGCAATTTGTAGTAAATTGAGTGAACCTATGACTAGCCCAGGCCGTTGGACATAGCTGTGTTGCCAATATTCAATCACAGTCCTACTATCCTAGTAATGGTACTGAGCAGCACGTGTTCGGAGAGTGCTTTCATATTCCCAGCTATTGCCACCGAAGTAAAAATATCCAGTTGAACGTCGTAAGCCTATCCGCCTCATTACAGGAGGAAGATAACCTTCCTCATGACTGGGCCCGTGAAGGACTCACGACGCGACTTGACTCTCCCAGTGTTTATACCCGAAGTTAAGGGAATGGGTGGCCAGAGTCGATATTACCTCGACGATTCATCGTCTTCCTCCGAATCATACCCTAGTAATGCACGGTCGCTGTTCTTACGCGTTGGTGCTGCCTTTTTCGCAGGATTCTTCGTATGTCTGGCTGTGGTTGCGCAATATGCCTCGTCAAATCAATCATGCTTGTCATTTTCACTCTTCTCTGCTTTTCTGCCACCACATGTAGGAACACCCGAATGGCATGAATACCCTCCGGGAGTGGCTTCTGAGAGAGTATTTGTGTGATAGCTAGAGGTACTGGGCCCGGTGGGTTTGCCTTGAAGTTGAACACATATGCAGAAAACGTCACGGCCACTGGGCCTCTTTCATTTTTGGATGACTGGTGAGCTCGCCTAGAGAGAGAACGTGGTAGCCAATGTCTGATTCCCCTTCCGCAGGACGTACAAGCTAGGAAACGAAGGTGACAGTCATACGCATCAGAATGCAGCTCCGACACTCATTTGTTGTTAGGATTAACGCCTTTTGGGAGGTCTCAGTTGTGTAAGGGAATAATCACCTCGTATAGCAGACTGTTGACATTACATAGTCGATCTCGGCGTGTCGATGCGCATGAGATACGGGTTCCTGCTGAAGGTGAATTCTCCATGTCTCCCTGCTTTATTCTTCAATTGACCCTACCATTCAGAATTTCAGCGAAACAAACACCTTGCCTGTGTTCAGAACGGAGTCACAGTGAGCATTCCAAGAAGTCCATAATTTGCATTCTGAAAATGACGTATGAAGAGCCCGGATGTTGAGCTCTGCGCAAAACTTTGCTCTTGGATTTTTTGGTTACCCCCTCGAGGGCCAGTATCACCAAGAAATTATGATCGAGGCCAAAGATGTAAGTGATCTGAACTATGCTAAGATACACCACTAATAGTGCGTGCGCGTCAGTTCAACAATTCTCTTGCCCCTTATCGATCTTGCGCAAATAATGATGTTCCCACTGGGGGCTACCGCGGCCAACCATATGCTGATGCATGGAAAGAAGTGTATCTCAGGGATACCATTCCTCGTTTGCAGCAATACCTTGATGGGTTCGAATTGGATGTTGAAGATGTTTACGCCATGCAAGAATTGTGCGCTTTCGAGACGGTCGCTCTTGGTTATTCCAAGTTCTGCGAACTCTTCACGGAGAAGGAGTGGGAAGGCTTTGATTATTCGTGAGAAATTTCTTTTATGTAGTTTGACCACGACGCTGATCTCAACCAGATATGACCTCAATTTATGGTGCATCCTGTCCTTCGCTTGCCACAAAAAGTTGATTTGACAGAAAAACATAGGTACGGTGTAGCTTGGGGCTCACCTGTGGGTAGGGGAGAAGGAATTGGCTACGTTCAAGAGCTCGTGTCTCGTCTTACTCAGACGCCGATTGAAACGCACAACAGTTCCACTAATGCGACACTTCACAACTCTGTCACTTTCCCCTTTGGACACAGCCTTTATGTTGATGCGACACATGAAGTTGTAGTCTTAAACGGTCAGCTCATTGATGAACTTGAACTTGAAAACGTCCTGATCCGTGGTTCAGTTCTTACCGCGTTGAACCTTTCAAGCTTCGCAGCTATGGGTCCTTTGCCTACCGATCATATACCTGAAAAACGAACATTCAGGACCGCGGAGCTTGCTCCATTCGCAACTAATGTACAGTTCCAGCGTAAGTGATCTCGCGATCCTTCCGAATTTTCACCTGATTATGTTCATCCTCATAGTCCTGTCGTGTTCCGAGGAACACGACCCACAAATTCGCGTGATCGTTAATGACGGCGTTGTGCCGCTGAACCATCTCGATGGGTGTCATGATCATCCAGATGGGATGTGCTCGATCCATGCTTTTGTTGATGCGCAGAAAGAGAACATTCGGAGTACGGATTGGGACTTCGTTTGTAACGCTGACTGGACAATCCCAGATGGATGGGAGACTACCACAGGCTACCCTCCTCTTTAGATTTCCTTAAACAATTCTTTCATGTTGGGTCGGTAGCATAACAGTCAGCAAGCACTTAATCTCTGATCAGTCTTTGCTTGGTCACTGACGCGATATTAATGCGAGTGATGGATATTCTAGCGTGGGCTTGTTCTTATCATCGTCCAGAGTCCTCGTGTCGTGTATGCAATTTTCGAAACCCGCTACATGAAGTGCGGTCTTCAACTTTTTCATTTCAGAATAACAAAAACCGCGAGAAGGGATGCGTTGGCTACAGTATTAGAACAGAACACAAGATCTACAAGTGAAGGTCTTGCACCACAACAAGGGGAATAAATATGTACGAAGTCTGCGCAGGACATGTAATGAAAGCGCGTGCCAGTATTAATCACGTGAAATGCGGGAGATTGTTCTGTACGACACGTCTCTGGAGTCTGAATTAGTCCAACGCAAATCCAACGTGTTTGAAATCGCCCTCGGCCCCTCCTTGCCCTGTGCCGGCGTTTCTAGGTAAGATTTTATTTCAAGAGAATAATGGTTCGTGCTGACAACCTCATGTATAACCGTGTGCAGACTCTGAACGTCCGGTATCACCAGGCCCAACTACCATCCAAGCTTTCTTTACCGCCCGGTGTGGTGCTTGGTTCGGACAGAAAGCCCTGCAAAATATGTACTGCGTTTCGTAATTGGAGGCCCGCCCTTTCAAGCACTGCCAATTTGGGCAAAAATCAACTACAGCAATGATGGCGGGCGTCTGGCACAGGCTTCCAATTCCCCAAGCCAGAAAATGCAACCCTGCCCCCACACTGTCCGCCGGATGTCGAAGCCCTTGGACGTGCCACGTGGTCATTTTTGCATGCGACCGCAGCATACTACCCGACGCGGTCCACTCCCCGCCAGCTATGCTAAATCTCATCTATGCATTCATGCACACATTGTGCAGCGGACTTTGGCGACAAAATGAAGGAGACTCCCCCAGACGTGAGCAGGTGGTTTTGTGAGCGACATAACGAGGTGAACGGAAAGTTGGGCAAACAAATGTTTGATTGTGCAAAGGTTGATGAGAGATGGAAGGATGGTCCACCTGACGGCAGCCGCGACTAGTCTTCGTCCCTGTCCAAAGGCCCCCGAAGGAACGACGCCTCGTTCTGTTGGAACTTCTCGTTGTCCCTTGCTGCGACTCGGAGTACATGTTGTCAAACACGCACAAATAAAGGCGGGCAAAGCGCCCAAGGCTGTCGGCATACCATTGAGCTATTACCAGTGACTAGTCGGTCTGTAGTGGTGAATGTTCTCAAGTTGTCCTTCTGGTATCCTGTGCACACTGGTGATTATCGCTCGCAGGCACCAATACTTGCAAAGCACAATGCTTAGGTTTCCAGCCGATGTGACCTTTTTGTCCCATTAAGCCAACTCAGGCGCGTCAATAACCTTCTGATATAAATAGTCCGATGGCGGCTAATCGATGATGGGCGCTAACAAACGCGTGTTTTGCCATTCATCGTCTTCCTCCCTTTTGAGACTCATACTACTCAGTCGTCCTTCCAACTTACTCGATGAGTGAAAACGATCCTCCTGGGAAGAAGCGCTGGGAGTGGCTGAAGCTGAAGCCAAGTCGTTCAGACCCTCATTTGCCAGAGGAGAGGCCAACCAGTGATGTATGGACTGTTGGCTTTACAAGTACGCCATGTTTCTAATGTTTATAGACATCCTCTCTCCCGCCTTCGAGCAATGAATCTCGCGGACGACCTCGGAAGTTAGTTCGCAAACTCTTTGGCAAGGTGACCAAACCCTTTGCTCCAAGCGCTCGACAGTCTTCCAACCCTGAACCTACGGGTGCGAGTTCCAGCGCGGATATCCAACCTGTACCGGTACAGTCAATTGAGGTGTGCGAAACCTCAACTCTGAGTATGCCCATGTGCCAGGATTGCTACTAATTTTCCCTGCAGAATCCTTCGCCACTCATTGTTGCCACTCCCGAACTGAATATTGAGCAATCATCCAATCCAGGCATCGTAAAGGTGACTTCGAGCGACCTTGTATCCCTCTTTCAATCAAGTATTAATGTCTCTAATTAGGCTGGACAACCCGACCAGAAGTTTGTGAATGAAAGAATCACCGATGCCACTGATGTTTTTGCAGGCATCGGCCATGTCACAACAATTGCCCAACATACATCTTCAGCGGCCAACAACTTACAGTCTGTTTCCGATACGGTTGACACATTCTCCGCGTTGCTTGGACCCTTGAAGGTTTTCAACTCCATTGTAATGGCATTGCCGATGTACGGGGATCTATCTCTGTTTTGTACTTAACTAACATCTTTATGTAGGTCCATCCCTACGCGAAGGTGGCGTTGAGCATCTTCACTTGCACGTCCAAGGTAGATTTCTTTCAATATCATTACCTTGATAGGTTAACGTAGTTTTTCTTCGCAGATGATTCTCGATCAGGCAGACCGCGATGACACTGTCTCCCGTCTGCTCTCAAAGATCTCTGAAGTCTACATCTTCATCACGGAAGAGGAGGAATTGCGCAAGTTGCAATCCATGCTGGCAGTATATGGGAAGATAGCCCAGCAAACACTGGAATGCGCTGATTTTATCACCCATTACTCTGAGACGAAGTGTGCCTGTGAGTCGATCCGACCGCTTCATCTCCTGACACTCAATGTCTCTAGCACAGGGATAAGGCTTGGAAATAACATTTTCGACGAAACGGATACCACGATCAAGAGCTACAACAATGTTTTCGACTGCCTCATGCAGCAATTTCGAGACCAAGCCGTTCGAGACACCGTTGTCACGGTCCACTGCATGGGTAAGAGTTGAGTTTCAGGCCTCGTTGAACATCATTGACACGCGATGATTCGTAGCCAAGAGTCTGGACCTCAGCGGCATGGAGTGCGCAGCGGGTGCTGGAGTCAACATGTCTAAATGTTGTCTGCCAGACACTCGACAAGAACTTTTGACTGAGATCAAGGGTTGGATTGGCAGCACTGAAGAAGGCGTACCAAGCGTCTTATGGCTGTCTGGCCCAGCAGGCAAGGGCAAATCAGCCGTTGCCCACACGATCGCCAACTGGCATGATGAGCGTGGCGGTCTAGGCTCTTGTTTCTGCTTTGATCGCACACAGGAAGCAGATCGCCGCCAGGACAAAATATTCACGACCATCGCAAATGACTTAGCAGATTGCAACCCTATCGTGCGCCGAGCCTTGGCGCAAGCCGTTCATGATAAGAACAAACTTAAACGCACCCCAGACCTCACAAGGCAATGGCGGGAATTGGTTGTAGGACCAACAAGCACAGCGTCAGAAGCCATCGCTGCACCTGTGCTGATGGTCATCGATGCATTAGATGAGAGCGGCTCAACAAAGTCCCGGGAACAGGTTCTTCGTCTGCTTTCTGGGGAGCCAAACGCCTCTCCTTCCCAGCTATCCAACATCCCAGCACACTTCCGTATTCTCGTCACTTCCCGTCCACTGGAGGATATTCGCGAAGCCCTGGGCACCGCATCACATGTTCGTCGCATCTCCATGGATGACATCTCGCCTGTGTCCGCAGAACGTGATATCCAGCTCTACATCTCCACCAAGCTAGCAGGCCCGTGCAGTCCGTTTGATGATGGGCACTTCAAGACCCTTGCTCAGAAATCTGACGGCTTGATTGAGTGGGCTCGTCTGGCCTGCGAGTATATCAAGAGCACGAACATTGTGAGCCGGGGCCCGATGCCCCGTTTTTGTTGTTTGTTTATCGATTATCATATGGCGAGTACAGCTTACATAATCACGCAAGTACATACAGACAGAACGGTTACTAATACCTCAGTCTACTACACCACGAGTGTAAGACTGAGGTGAGACATTCATTACTATAGTTCACTCATTTACTGACTCTACTAGTATACATTCTTTTGTCTCTAGGTTAGTTTATAGTCTACTACACCACAAGTGTAAGACTGAGTATACATTCTTTTGTCTCTAGCTCGTCCGTTCGGCTCCGCACGTCCTACTACGAACAAAAGGTTATGAGCCCTGTTACAGCGGCCCCATCATTTTCTCATCATCATGCTGCTCCGATCTATTCCTGTTATCTCTGACTGCTTATCAACATGCACCACATGAACATTCTAGATACTTCCGTCTATTCTTGTTATCTTTGACTGCTTATCAACATGCACTGCATGAACATTCCAGATAGTTCCATGATGTTCTTTTTGACTCCTTTCACTTCCATAGTCGGCCTGGTCCGTGCCTCCTTTGCCCATTATAAATACTGCAGTAGTCACACTTGTATTCTCTAACTTGAATCTACTTGGTTCTCTCCGATACTTGATCATCTTCTAAGGAAGATACTCGATTCCGATCTAGCTCTTATAGAGACTAGCCTATACTCGAACTTCACTTAGAGGGAGAGCCCCTCAAGTGTCTGAACCGAACATCGTAACACGAAGAACTCCTTTATTGGATTAGTTACGCAAGAACTATCCAAGTCGTAACAAAAGATTCAAGTTTCTCTGAACCCCTCTATCACCGAGGGACCCCACTCACCCTGAAACCCTGAACCCAGAATAGAAAGACAAGACGTCTTCCCAGAAGCTAAGCTCGGCTAAGGCAAGACACGCCGCCGGAAGAATTCTAGGAGGAGACCCATACCCCAGAACAGAAAGAACTCCCACTCAGACTCCTCAGAACCCGTTCTCATCCTTATTAACAGGACCATCCGCTATAACCAGAGGGGTCATTGCATCACCAATAGGATATAGTTCGCTTGAGGAAGGATTATCCCAGAACCAAGAACCGTCGCAACAGGAACGCCCCCAAAACCCACCTGTTGATAAAGACGAAGAAATCCCTGACGCTCCACCGCTTGACCTTGACGACGAGGAAGAAGAAGACTACGACGAAGAACCCGAAGAACCAGAAGAACCCGAACCTCAAGTATCCACTATGGCAGGGAGAGGAGACAAACCCATTGAACGGAAAATTGGATACCCACCTGACTTTTCCGGAGACAGGGAGAAATTTTCCCAATGGCTGTGCCTAGTTGACTCGTACATCGAAATCAACGATGAAATCTACGACACCGACAAGCGAAAAATCATCTTCGCTCTTTCATTCATGAAAGAAGGAGCAGCAGCTCTCTGGATGGAAGATTTCATCACCTTTACCAGAGAAGAGAACCCAACCTCGACAACCGGAGCGAAGAATGGTGTTGGAACATGGGCGGATTTCACTACCAAGATGAAAGAAAGCTTTTCCC